GCCACCAACGGGATGCTATTCACATGTGCAGAAGAGCGCAGAAGAGGTTTTGGAGTGCTCTTTGACACATGAAGTTGCAGGTCTCTTTCCACTGCAATGAAGGAATTTGAACTAATGTGTCCAATGAAACGTTATAAATTCTCTGAACCCGCATCCCTTCCAAATGACTGGATGTGACATCCGCCATACCTGCCCCGACACAGTGAGAAAACAACCCCCTAAAATGGAGTCTGAATGGGCAGTTTCACCAGGTCTTTCTGGCGTTACCCCAACCCTCTCTAGCCCAGTTAATGGTCGCATCACACAGCAGTTGGGGAAGGCTGCTATGAACCTTAGAAAGCAAACAAAACGAGGTACTTAAAATAGTGTTTTAAAGCGTACTATTATATCCTTTTTATTTTACAGAAGTAAAATATTACGAGGACAGCAATTCTTCCCCAGTCAGAGATGCCGGAAAAAGGTTACACACCTGAGTCTGTCCTACCGCTCTCGATAGAAAGCAAATATAAACTATTCCACAATGGGTTTAAAGTTAGTCTAGAATGAAGAGCCTCAACCTTGCAAGACGTGTCAACCCTTTAGCACAAAAGATTAGTCCTTCTGCAAGAGGCTATGATACAACACTCCATTTGCAGTTTTTCAGCTTCAAAACTGATCTTTCAAAATAGGCAAGGGCAGAGATGTGTCTCTCTCCAGTGGAAAGATGCCCCCTCCCCCAAATGAAACTCGCATCAGCAGCACAGACGACAGGAAGGGATTCTGGGATTGAGGGGAGAGCAAGAGGATTCCCGCATGTACAAGATCAGAAAGATACCCCCCCCAAAAGGTACATACATTAAATGTAGAAATTCTTTTCAGAGTGCTCCCTTCATCTTTAATCCTCAAAATATTTTATATCCCATACATATGATCCGTCAAAGGGCACTGGAACCCAGCATAAATATGCAGAAAAAGTGTTCTCTCAGAACATAATTACCGAGAAGCTGAAGCAGAATCGAGCTAATTCTTGCAGAGGGATTTGATCAGCAGTAAAAACACTGGGGGGAAGAGGTAAGCTTTATGCAAATCAGCGTATCTCTTGCAGGCAAAACAAAAGGAAAGGGCAACCAATAATCGACAGAAATCTTCCCTGGAGAAGCTAAAGGATGAGGTTAGACTCTACAGCCGCCTCCTTCTCCACTTAACGTGGAAAGAGATCAGAGGGAGAGGCCAGAGAGGAATGCCCAGTCATGCCATACGGCTGCTACTTTCTCCCAAAGAGAATCAAAACGTATGCATACAAACCATCTGCAAGTGACAGCTGAACCTCCTTCTTCGCTATTTTGGGTCATACTTTACAGGGACGGTTCCTCGTCCAAAACCAGGGCACATCGTGACACACCTACAAGTTCAAGAGAAAAGGGCTTGCCCATAGTATGAAGAGTGTAGACCCCCGCAGTTTAGTTCCTGAACGTCCCCTGCAGCTTGATAGGTCCCTGCAAGATAAGCCCAGTTCAAAGAAACGGAAGAAATGCAACTGCTCTTACTCCTGGGAAACAATGCAGATTCCTTTCAGAAGAGAATAGCAACCTGGAGGGCAGGAGGGCGGGACAAAAAATAATCTTGCAACTGAAGTCTGTGTATGGGGAAGTCTCTGACGCCTTCGCTTTAGTTGCCAGTGATTTAAAGAAACAGGTATGGTTCTCCATGCCAATCGATGGGTACAAAATAGCCCGTGGACAAGTATTTCTCTTCTGTTCTTTAACAAGAGTTCCAATGAAGACCTTTTTCTTTCCTTACTCGATTGCTGAACTGAAGAGAGGGGGGGTGGGAGGGCCCAAAGGGAGTGAATCTCTTGACAAGAAAATGAAATAGGAGAGAATTTCTTTAAAAAACGGTGTGGCGGTGTTAAAGTTTCTGGAGGAAGAGATGCCAACCAAGAATGAATTATGGGGTTCAGTAAGTAGTTGGCCCTGCCCACCTGAATTCCCCAATTCTATTCCCCCTTGGATTCCACTTGCAGATCTTTGGAGTAACAACTCAAAACAAAGCAAGTGTCTGGCTGGGTTCTTCAGGAGCAGGGAGATTTTTTTGAGCAGTTTGTTACCCTCTGAATAGAAAGATTTTGCATTTGGAATGAATGATGGGCAGGAAAAGGAACTGCCCACTCTAATTTATTCCTAGGGCCCTATTTGATTTCCAGGTGCTCAGAAACACAATTATAAAGAAAAAAGGAGTAGCTCGGCACAGCAGATGTGGAAGGGAGACAGCTTCAAGCACTACTGCCGCTTCTGAAAGGCAAATGACTGACCAGCACCAAACAATGGCAGTCTGAGGCGCCAACTATCAGAAGACTAAGGTATTTTCTCATTTCAAAGCCCAGTCTTTGGGGATTAGAAGATAATTCATCCTATAAAGTACTACAGCTTCTACACGACCTCAAGAAAAAGCAAAGGAGGAGAAAAGAAGACATCCAGAGGTGCTAAAGGATATTAACCCATCTATATAAAGCCAACCAATATAACAACTAGGAAGAAGTTCCACAATGTGGAACTAGGGAAGAAAAAACAGAAAGACTGGATATAAATCTCAGGCTACTCGCTGCTTCTAAGAAAGATTCTCTTGCAGCTAATTCCCTATGCCACCCCAATCCAGATGTTCAAGACAGTCTGAAGAAGGGGCTTCTCCAAGCTATGAGGCAGGATCCCCGAATTAACCATGACAAGATGTGTGACAGTAACCGTATTAGAAGCAAAGGGCTTCACAATTTTCTGGAAGAGCATCAATTCCTTCTGGGACCATCTACCGTGCAGTTTTGGTTGCAGAGGTAGAGCCAAAGAGATCCTCCTGTTATGCTAAGGGTGACAAGAAAGACCACAGGAGAATATCAACCAAGGGCACCTTCACTCTGATCCGAATAACTGTGTTTCTTACAGAGCAAAGCACAAATGCCCAGCTTCGGCTTCTTCTAGGCCTGTAATTCAATTCAAAGCAACCATAAAACCACAGTATCCAAAATTATGTTGAAGGGCAGAATATGACTCTATCTAATGCAGACGTTTTGAGGAACTATGCACACCATGTTTGATAACTGGCTATGCCAGCTGCGGGTGACAGGAATTGCCTCCCCAAATATCTGCCTTAAATGCCTACAGATCCACCTACGATTCCCTGGGACAACCGCTACAAATAATGCCTTCCCCAACCCAGCAGGCCTCTTTTCAATCCCTGTGATCATCTGCAACGATTTGGGGCCAATAAAATCAGCAATCAGCCCAGAAGAACTTATGCATCTGGCGCTTACAGGCATTTGCCAGCTTTCTGTACATGTGTCCTGTGCACCAAGACAATGCCATTGTTCTGTGGGGTTTATGTGCTTTAATCCACGGCCTGCATTATTGCCATTCTCAAGCTATGGCCACGTTTTCTCAGCTCTAGTCCAAATTAATTTCATATAAAGGCAACAACAGAAATATTCCACAGCTGCTATCATCATCACTGTAAGATTTCTGGGGGTTTCTGGCTGCAAAATTAAAGGGCAAGAGCGGTCATGGTACAAGACGACCACTAAGAAAACAGACCCAAAGGGTACTTTTTTCCCCTCCCTCTGGAAGAATAAAACATAATGGAACACCGCCAGTTCCCGACAACTGCCCCTCCACCACCACCACCCAAATAAGAAGATAGCAAAAACAAGCCAAGAGTTCAGCTCACCTTTAATTCTCTCTTCCGATTTCGGTCACTGTTGGACTTGGAGTGTCGAGAGCTTCGCCCTTCCTCAACGGCTTCAAAAAGCTTATCAACAAACCGTAAAGTGGAATCATCCAGGAAGGGCTTGAGGTGATCTGGCCAAGAGAGGGGGAGAGAGAGAGAGAGTAGTGCGGCATGGCAGCCCAAAAGACACCCCCTCAACCATTCTGAGACCAGCTACTCCTTTTCCCAGTTCATCCCAATTGCCTGGAGGGAGAAAGGAGGCCACGGAGCTCTTCCACCATCATCACACCTTCTTTCCCTCGGATAAGAAAGGCAGCCCAATCGCCTTACCCTGTTCCCAGTCCAGCTCAGCGGTTGGCCCCACGGACGGGAAGCGGACCCAGCGGCCCAAGTCTCGCCCCACCCCCGGGCTCCATCCAGGGCCAAGCCGGAGCAGGAGGGTCCGACCGCCTCTCCCCACCCGGACTTCTAGGGTCTCGGGGGCCCAGCGGCACAAGACCTACCGGCCGCCTTCTTCTTGTCCATCCCTTTCCCGACGCAGTTCAAGGCGGCGGTCACCACGGTGGGCTCGGAGAAGCCGAGGACCCGCTTCACCGTCTTCTCCACCCACGGCTTCAGTTCGTCCAGCTCCCGCTTCGAAAGCGCCATCCTGGGAAGGCTCCGCCGGGGCGCTGGGGCAGAAAGAGGGTCGCGGCTGCAAAGGCCCGAGGGGGGAAAGGAGGGCCCACCACTACCACCCCGAGGCGGGACTCGCCCCGACGGGCCGCGGCTCAGGTCGCCCTCGCAGTCGGAGCCGCTTCTGAACAGTCAACAGGGCCGCCTCAGCGGCCGGGACGTCCTCCCCTCCCAGAGAACCGGGGCCCGGGGCGGCTCCTCACCGGCGGCCTCCCTCCGCGACTGGGAAGGAGAAGGCCGCGGGCCTCGCGGCGGACGGAGGCAGAACGTCGACTCTGGCGGGGCGCGGAGCGGAAGCGGAAGCGGGCCTGACCAGCGACTCCGCCCTCTGGCGTGGGGGGGCGGGACTTCCTGGAAGCGGCCGCTGCCTGAGCCGCAACCGTGCTGATGGGCCGCGGCCAGCAGGGGGCGCGCGCAGTTGCCGCTTGAGCACCACTCTCGCCCCTCCGCAGCCGCCCCAGGAGCCGGCCGGAGGGAGGGGAGGGAAGGGAGGAGCGGGCGGTGGAAGGACCCCCCCCCTCCAAGGCACCCGAACGCCCGAAGAGAAGAGGCGTCCCCGGCGAACACCAACTCCCCCCCCCCCCCCGGTGCGCGTTCAGGATGGGGACTAAAAAGCTCTCAAGAAGAGTCGGAACTTTGTATGGATTTTATTGACTTCACAATAACTTTCCGGACAAATCAAAGCGAGCGGGAGCCTCGGCGGCGCCTCCACCCTTTGAAAGTCTTGGGTTTAGCAACCGAGCCAAGGATCCGGGCGGTTTTTCCTCATGAGGAAGTTGATCTTTCTGCCCATTTCAGAGTTATAGATTCTCCGGCACGCTTCGTAGGCCTCCCGCCGCCTCTTCTGGCACGGCTTCTCGTAGTACCGCTTGCGCTTAACGTGGTCGATAATCCCATCCATAGTGAGGACTCTACGAAGAAGGAAAGAAAGAAGAAGGAAGCGTCTCTTTTAAAAAGGCGAGATCCCCGCCGGGAAAATCCGAGGGGCGCGCAAGTTTAAATCGGGATGAATTTTCCCTCCTCCTTCCAACCTTCCGCCTGATTTGCACGGCTTTCCGGAGAGTTACCAAGATAACATGGGGCTGTTTAAAACACGGGGGACGGGGAGGGGGGGTGAGAGCAGAGGGAGGTCTGGACCATGCCGCGCCTCCTCCCGTTAGGCGGGGAGAACCGCCGTCATTCATTCAGACGGAGCCCGTGTCGCTTCGGAGACGCCTGGGCAGCAGACGCGCAGCCTTCGCCTTGACACGGGCGCTGAGCAGCCGCAGGCCCTCCCTGAAGGGAGCCGAGCCAAGCCTCCACCCAGCGGCAACCCCAATCCCGGAGCATCCGCGCCCACCCTGCTGACACCTCGGGCCGAGAGGAAGCCGACGCGTGTCCGGCTACCGGCCTCGGAGAGCCCGGAGGCGCTTCCAAGACGGCGCAAACGGTCGGGAAGCCGCTCGGGCGCGCCCTGCTGTGCCTGCACGGCGGCGCTCCTGGTCGCCGCGTGGCCCGGGGGCTCCTCCGAGGGGCGCCCAAAGACTCGGGAAGTGGGGGGGGGGGCAGAGGCGGCGGCGCTCCTACCTGGTGAGGACGCGGTAGGCCAGCTCCACGTCTCCGCCCGGGACCATCACGGTCCGGGCGAGGAACTTGGCGTGGTGCGCCATCTTCACCCGGCAGACCTCCGGAGGGACCGGGAAGCGCCTCTCGACTCTCTGCCGGGGATTTGGGCGGAAGCGCCCGCCCTGCCGCCGGAAGCGCCCACCGGAGGATGGCGCCCCGCCCGGTCGCCGTGGCAACGGCGTGAAAAAGGCTCCGAGGTTGGCCGCCGGCCCTCGCTCGCCCCGCCGATCCCGTGTCTCTTCCGCCGCGGCCCTGGGATCACCAGCCCTGGATCCCCGGCGAGCTTCCCCGATAGCGAAGGGCGCCCCGCCTGCAGACTCTGGGTGTCGCCACGAGGGGGCGCTGGACCGTCGCCGTTTGGCTCTGCCGGGCCAGGAGTCCCCCGCGAGAGAGAAGCTGCCCTTGAACTGTCCGGAGTGCACGTTGTCCAGGGAGAGGCCGGACGGTGCGGAAGGGAGGCAGGGTGGTGAGAAACCGGCCTCCCCCCCTCCCTCCTAGGAAGAAGGCAAGGGGGAAAACGACCCACAGGGCTATGTCTCTTGTTGTCCATACTGTATTGAATTATCTGGAACAACAGGGGACGTATGTGAGGCTGTTATTTGTGGATTATAGCTCTGCCTTTAACACCATTCTACCCAACAGGTTATTTCTTAAAATGTCCAATTTGGGTATAAATCAGAGGATTTGTTTGTAGATAAGGGATTTTCTGACAGGTAGGCCACAGTCTGTAAGGATGGGATCTCACCATTCCTCTACTCTGATACTAAGCACAGGAGCCCCCAGGGTTATGTGCTAAGCCCCTTTCTTTATTCCTTGTATACATATGATTACACCCCATTGTATAACACCAATGCAATTATTAAATTTGCAGATGACACAACAATGCAAGATGACACAACAACAACATTATTACAACAACAACATTATTAAGAACAATGAGTCTGCTTACAGAAAGGAAGTACAAGGGCTGATATTGTGGTGTAAAGAAAATAATCTTACACTTAACACCAAAAAAACTAAAGAACTTATAATTGACTTCAGGAGGAAGAGAGATATACGTTTACCATTGTACATAAATGGTGAGATGGAGAGTGTGGGTAGTTTTAAATTTCTGGGCATTTATATCTCGGAGGACCTCTCATGGATTATGAATGCTGACATGTTTGTGAAAAAAGCACAGAAGAGGCTGTACTTCCTGAGAAAGTTCAGGAAGATAAATCTATCTCAGCATCTATTTCTGTCCTACTATCGCAGCACCATTGAGTGTCCTGACATACGTCATTCTTGCGTGGTATAGGAGCAGCTCTGTAGCAGACAGAAAAGCTCTACAGAGAATCATTAAAAGTGCCCAGAATATCATCGGGCTCCAGCTACCAGCCCTGGACGACATCTTCGAATTTCGCTGTTTGAAGAAGTTGCATAACATTCTCAGACTCTTTAGGACTGTTGCTTTCTGGCAGAAGATACAGAACAATTAAAACTAGGACCACATGTTTTCTGAAGTTTTTATCCCAGAGCTATAATTGCACTCAACAATGAACTAAAGGGCCACCATCAGTGAGCTGTTGGACAGCATTACTTGGTCTGTTGTGTGGATGTTTGGGTGGTTTAAGGGTGGGGAATTTGTGGTGGATGGAGGTATCTTTGGGGATTGTATGTGTTGGACCTGGTCTTTGGGTGTTAAGTGAATTTCGTTCTATGCATATACTGTGTATACATGTACAATGACAATAAAATTATTAAAATGACTTATGACCTTATGACTTTTATTTTTCATTAACACCTTAAAATTGTATGCCCCTTCTCAGACCTCATTTAAAGGGACATTTGTGTAACATCCAGCACTGATCATGCTACCTAGTTAAAACGTCTGCAAGAAAACAAGCTCAGAGAGCACCAACAACCCCTCATACATATAACCTCTTTGTCATGTAACGGATTTCCTATGCAGAGGGGAACTTTTGTTCAGTCGGATCAGCTTTTACTCTTGTAATTTTCCATGGATAGAAGGCCTCTGATTTGCCCCCCTCCCTTTAATAGCTCTGATCTGCCCCAGAATAAACATCCCACTGATGACATCAAAGAACAGGAATTTCCCCAGGATAAAGGGAGGATGCCAGAGGTGGAATCCACATGTTATCTGAGGGCAATCTTTCTGGATTTCACACAGGATCAAAGCCCAAATCGGGAGCAATCTGCAGATCTGCACAGGGAGGATACCAACCAGCATGTATACAAACCACACCCCTTTGTTCACACCAAGGACCAGTCCCCCCCCCCTCTATAAAACTGGCTTCCCACCCCATTTTCTCTGTAGTCTATCCCTAAATGCAAATCTTTTTGCTTTTAGGAAATGAATCTCCTTTCTCACAATATGCCTGAACTTCATTTTTTGTTTGCTCCTGCATCACTTCTTGCAGAACCCAAAATTATTCTTCCAATGCTTTGATGTCTTAACTATAAAAGGGAATGTAAGATGGGTCTCAGGATTCCCCCTTTGAATGAGAGGAGCTCTTTTTAGTTGTAAATTGTAATTAAATTATCTTCCTGCCTTGGTGCCTTATGGAAGAGTGGCCATACCAGGGCCAGAGCCTAGACCATATTTGGCCAAGAGCATATAGTTTTGCATCAGATCACAAAGATAAATGTCTAAAGGATGGAAAAAAGAACCATGAACCTCATCAACAGCCATTGTGGCAGTGTCTTTATTGAAACTAAAGTTTTCCACCCTGAGGGCATGTACAGTTCTGCTTTCTCTTGAACATATGTGAAACATTTAAGTTTTTAAAAAGTTTGTGAAGGGGAAAGATGGTCTGCAAGTCCAGGGAGACATGTCTGCTGGGGCATCAGGAGCTACGGCATTTCACAGGTTTTCCTATAGATGCTTCGCTCCTCTCCAGCTTCTCCCCAGACAAGTGGGGCAGCAACAAAGAGAGGCCACCAAGAGTTCCTCTGGGGGCGGAGCTGCTTGCTGTCAGGACACCAGGTAAGCTTTGACAACGAGGTGGCTCCCCTGAGCCAGAGAACAGCATGTCAGGAGGGCAGCCGTGTGCAAGAGTCTTGGAAGCAGCTTGTGCAAACATAACCTTTTGGAGAAAGAAAATCACTCCACAATTGCTCGTGTTTGGCCCCAGCAAGATCTGCCCAAGCGTGGAGTTCATCTGACTGAAGTCTACTTGTCCTAAGAGAGGGTTCAAGGGCAACATGTGAATCCAGGACAGGTTCAGAGCAGGTTCATTGCCCATGGGTACTGGCTCTCCCTGCCGAGTGCCAACATCATGGTCTTCTAAGGAAGAGAGGTCCGAGAAAGGCCTCAGCATGTCATCTTGGATGGATGGGCTTCTGCTTCCCATGATCTGGTCTTCTACACAGAGGGACTGAGAGAGATGGTAGGAAATCAAGCCAGGTTTAAGGAGCCCCAAAACCCCCTTCAACAGGATAGCAATAGTAACAGCATTTAGACTTAGATACCGCTTCACAGTGCTTTTCATCCCCCTGTAAGTGGTTTACAGAGTCAGCATATTGCCCCCAACAATCTGGGTCCATTTTACCAACCTCAGAAGGACGCAAGTATGAGTCAACCTTGAGCTGGTCAGGATCAAACTGCCAAACTGCTGGCAGTCAGAATTAGTCTGCAATACTGCATTCTAACCACTGCGCCACCAGGATGCAAGTCCTGTTCCCTCACGACACAAAAGAGCGGCTAAACATCCCTCCTGGAGGTGAGACAGGACCCAATCCTGAAGTTTTATCAGTTGGCAACATTCATGAAATTAAACTTCTGGATTCTTTATTTTCTATGTCAAGAACAGTCAGTGGAGCTGGAGCCCCTTATGATCACGATTCACGCAATACTTGATTTGCACATGAGACTGGGGGCTGTCAGATGTTTCCTCAACAAGGCTTTCTCCAGAGGTGTCAGACCACAATGCCCATTTCTCTGAGGAAGCACAGGACGTAGTTTGAGTCCAACACGTCCAAAGAGAACCAGTATGGGGTGAGACGAAGGCAAACATTTGCCCAGAGTTGTGAGAGGAGCAGCAAATAAAGTTAATCAATCAATCCACCAAATCAAATTCCATGGCTAGATCAACTTTTTGGAACAGAGAGGCCAGGAACATTATTGTCCAGGATCAGGTGGTGTTAATAGGGGAAGCGTTATTAACTTGGACTAGACAGAAGAGTGAGAGAATCCAAGGAAAGCCAGGCAGGTGTAATCAACTGGAGAAAGAAACACAAACACTCACACCACTCCTACAAGTTCCAGGGAGGAAAGGAAAAACAAATAACAGCCCCCACTGTACAGAAAGGAGAGCTCATCCCAGAGAAAGCCATCCATGCCCTACAACTCCACAGGTTAAGGGTTTACATATGTACAATAATGTCAATGGGTCATGTACAGAATCTAGCCAAGTCAGGCAGAACAAAGTGATCTTGGCACTCACCTTTGCTGCCCCACATGCCTCCCTGGCTGACACACTGTAGCTGGCCTGGGAGTCCTTCAAGGGGATGTGAGGGTACCAGATCTTGAGCATCTTTTCCACCTGCAACAGGGTGCCCAGGTATCGCTCCCTGCAAGCCAAGGGGAAATGAAGTCAGACAGATACATACATACGTAATGGAGCCATCCAGATTCTTCTACATCTACACACAAGCAAAGCTACAACACTGTTTTTAAAGACTCTTTCCTTGCAAAATGCAGTCCAGAGGGGGCCCCACAAAAAGTGTTTTCTGATGAGGCAAGTCTCAGAATTGCAATAGCACAGCAGGAGCTCAGTGGTGACAAGAAAACAGTTAAGGCATCTGGCTAAGTTAGGGGGCTTGAGCAGCACTGGCCAGCAAAGGAGACCCTTACCCCATCTGAGGCTTCTGAAGGACACCAATGATCCGCTGGATCCGATCCATGGCCACGCTCTGCTGGAAACTACTTAGACCTGCAAAGTGCCAAAACAGGAAGCTCAATAAACATGGCTACTAGGATTGAATGGATTAGAGCAACAGATCTCAAACCATTTCCCGCACTGCCTGCTGCCTAGAATCGGACTACACGGGTGGAAGGGTGACATGCAGCCAATAATCTCATCAATTCTCTATGACTTGTCCAGATGGATTGTTAATTCCACCCACCCACCCGTCTGTGCGAGGGGACTGCAAGAAAAGCAAAGAAGGCCAAAAACTTCAATAGAAACAATCCATTTTTGAAGCTCTGGTTGTAAAGGAGAAGTGACTGATCTCAAAGACAACCTGCTGGGGTGTGTAAGAACTCTTAATACTTCATAGGCTTCTGAATTACAATGGGATGGGTTCCCCCACCACTACCCCCAAGCTTCTCTATGAAGGGCCGGCTGTAATGAGAATATTGGCATCAAAGCAGCCAGATCACGCATCTCCATGGCTCTCCTTCCAGGCACCCAGACAACACTTGCAGTTTACTAATCCCCCAGTTGCCAGGGTGTCCAGCCCATTTCGCTCCCATCAAGGCACCCAGGCAGGTGTGCCTGCTGCTCCTAACCTTGGTCAAAGCAGCCCATTTTCAAGCGATTCAGAAGCTCCAACAGGGGGCGGACAAAGCCTTGGAGTTCCCAGCACTGTAAACATGGAGCACAAAAGAGTGTGAAGTGTGAAAAGCTGCACAACAAGATTTAAAAACAGTTCTCTGGGGAAGAAAGAAGAATCTGGGAATGAACGGAAGACTACAATTGATGTTTATTCCTGCACGGTTGCTCATAAAACAATACAAAAAGGGCCACTGTCTATGTCAACAGGGGCACGGTAGCCGTGAGGTTACCACCTATCTGCAGCTTGAACCCGAGTGGGCACTCTTACTAGCAGAACCCCCGCTCTAAACTGCCCTTTCTAAGCCACCTTCGAAGTCTTAAGGTAGACTGACTGAACAACACCTCCTTCTGAAAAGCAAACCAGACAGCTGTGTGGCCTCCATCGTTCTGCCCAGTGAAAACGATCCTTTTCAGTGTGGTGACGATTGCTCACCAAATCCCCAGTGGATTCTTCCCTTTCGCTCGTAAAAGGAAGGAGCAGTCGGATAACCATCAGATCTAGGGGGTTTCTTGGTGGGACTACACGGAAAGAGCTCTCCCAATCCCTAGTTGAGCATCATCCCTCCGGGACCACCAGCGGACTCACCTTTTGTGCAAAGGCTTGGTCCCCTTCCGTCCAACAGGGAGAATGCAGGGTCTCTTCTGTTTCCTTCCTCCGCTGCCTCTTTATCCCAGGCGATGACATAGATGCCGTGGGGCACAGAGGGGGACGGCTGCCTCCTGTGGCACTGCTCTGAAGCTTGCAGCCACCGCTGCCCTCAGCCCTCTTTCGGTTCACCCTCTGCCCAGGCAGGCTTCCGTTTGGACTGACCCGGCGGCTAAGGAATGTCTCCCCGGGACCCTCTGGGCCACGGAGGCAGCCAGAGCCAGGAGGCTGCAATCCAAAGGGCTGCTTGGGTCCCTGACCAGACAGACCAGGCAAGAGGAGGAATCCTGAGCCATTGAGGCAACCTCGGTGTCTCGGCAACCTCACCTCCTTCCCATCACTGAGAAGGAAGATTCTGAAATTCCCCTTTGGTGATAGGAGCTGCTCTTCCTCGCCCTCCTCCTCTTCGCTGGTGGCACTTTCCACTGAATAGAAAGACTCCCAGGAAGAGATGCTTCTTGTGTCATCCATGGATTATCTTGATTGCTAAAAGAAAGAGGGGGGATGTCCATCAGCCTGGCTTCCCTCTTCAGGCACTTAGACAAGAAAGCATTTACAGGTTGCTATTTCCACAAGACATTTCCCCCCACCCCCCCACTTTCTGGAACTCAGAGGCCCCCCTCCTGTTCCTTTAAGCAGCAGCAGCATTATTCAAACACTACAATTGGGGACAGAAACCATCACCAGCAGCAGCCACAGATCTCCAAGCACAAGGAACAGAACCTCGGGAAGGGACCAGGTTCTGCCAATTGGATCAGCACCACAACCCATCCAAGCAGCTCCCAAGCCTGGCCACTTCCAGGCCCTGCAAGGTGCTACATGCCACCAGCCAGAGTGTTCTGCACCCTCCCAGGGGAAAGCATTGTCCTCGCTCAGGAAAAGGCATTCCAGGGGAGAAGGGGGAGGGGGAGTACGGAGGAAACAGGGTGGGTTTATTGGAGGCGCTCCAGGCGGCCCACGTCGTCGCCGCCGCCGCCGCCGCCCTGAGAGCGCCAACCGCCCAGGGTCACCCCGCGAGTTTCTCGGGCTGGAAGCCAAGTTTCGCAGGGAGGGCCGGTGCCGATCCTGACCCCGCACGTGGGGGGCACGCTGCCCGTCGGTTCTGGCTGAACAGCCCCAAACGGCGGGAGTAAGCGAAAAGCCCCGAATCCCTCAGCCCGAGCGGCTGTCCGCCAAACCCGCAGGAGGTGCGTAGCCAGCAAAGGCTCGAAACCACCGGAGCCCCAATGGCGACCGTAGCCGAAAGGACTCGGAAGCCGCCTCTGCGCAGTTCGGGGACATCTCGCCAGTAACCCCACCTCCGTCCCCGGCCTCACAACCGCTAGCTCTAGAGCCGCCTTTCGCCAAGTTCTCGCGCTTCGTTCCGAAGTCAGGAGCTCCAAAAGGCAAAGGAGCCGAAGCCGGGACTGACTTCCCGGCGACCTCGCCCAGCCTGCGAATAAGCTCGCCCGTCGGTCCCACGCGAACCCCGCTCCCGGCCCATCAGAAAGAAGCAGCGCCGCCCGCCACCCAAAAGATCCGAGGCAGCCGAGCGCGGCCGCTACCCTCCAGCCGGGACCAGATTCGGCAAGCACTCTGCACATGCCCCGGAGGGGGTCGCCCCTGTCCCGCCCGCCCCGGTCTCCGACCCCGAAGCCCTGTTGGGAAATCTCGGGGAAACGAAAAGGACGCCGCGCTCGCGCCGCCGATACCCACCGGCTGCTCCGGGAGGCTCCGATGAACTGCCGGCTGTCGGGAAGCCAAGCCCAGCTCAGGGCCCGCACCACGCGGCCACGTGCGGCGCCGCACGTGCCCGCAGGCCCCGCCCCTCCTGGCCCGCCCCGAAGGCGCCGCAGCCTCGGCGCGCCATTGGCTCGGCGCCGTCCAACGCGGGGAGGGGAGAAGGGCCGCGCACCCATTGGCTGGCGGGTCCCAGCCAGGCGCAGGCGGCCGCACGCGGGTCGCACGGGGCAGCGGGGAGCGGGAGGCGAGTGGGCAGACCCGTGTCTCTCCGCGCGCGTCTCCGCACACGTGGCAGCGGCGTGCAAAGCGTCCTCCGCCGGGCTTTCGTTCCGCGGGACGGCGGGGATCGAATCTGCGGCCGGCCCACCTCGCCGGACGGTCTGCGGTTCAGACCCAGGCCGCTACCGGAGTGCATTGCTTGGAAAGAAGCAGCGAAGGCGGCGCGATTCAACGGGCGGCGGGGCTGCTCGCAAAGCCTATTTCATCCGGCTGGGGATGGGGGCGGGAGAGAACTGTCCTGCCCAGCGGCTCCATCAGTGCGGGAAGGCCGCCGGCGACTCTCCCGATCGCGCGCGCTCGACACGAAGGAGCCGGACCCCCTCTCGCCCGCTACACAACCGGCTCGCGTTGGTTCGCCTTCGGGGACGCCCAGTCCCGAATCTGCCAGAACATCCCGTGATCGTCACAAACGTTAATCGGGATTTGGCGGATTAGTAGAGGTGTAACCGCAGCGGTGTGAATTGAACGCGCTTCCATCCGGAGAGGACAGCGAGAACCCGAGTTCTTCCCAAAGCGCAGGGACGCCCCAACCGCCTCTAAGAAAGACGTCGCAATTTGCTTGAAACACCCATAAAACACCACGTTCCTCTCTTTCCACTTAACTCCAATACGTGGAATGCTGGCGAAACGTTCAAGTTTATGCTGTGTTTCACGTTCACAAATCAAGTTTAACCAATGCGCAAAAGACCCGGGGACTAAATCAAAGCCACTTGAGAACCTTGCTTTAACCTTGACTTGCATAGTTTGGGTTCCACAGCATAAGCAACTGTCACATCCTCAGGCGTGTGGCTTGAGAAATCAATGCAGGGCACCCCCTTTCTCCTCCTGCCCTTTCACAAAAGGGATTGGCTGAGGCAAGGGGAAACCTGCTGCTTTGCCTTTCCTGGCCTTGATTGGGGGAGGGCTCCCTTGCCATGCTTTCCTGTCCTGTCCTGCCCCCACCCACCCCCCAACAGCACAACCTGGCGCAATCAAGCAAACACTGGGTGGGGGACTGGGTCACCATGACCTGCTCTCTTTCAGGCTGGCAGAAACCCAGCACAGAAGAGGAAGCTGGTGGGGTCCAGCCCAAACTCGAGAGGGGGGGGGGAGGAGTTTCCTGGGTTTGCCTGCCTGCTTCCCTCCAGGCAAGGGCCCCCAATTCTGTAGAACCAGAATTCCACCATGGGAGGTTGGCTGCTTGTCTTTTTGCCAATCTTCTATCAGCAAGATGATAAAAGGTCAGTGTCTGTAAGGACCTTTGGTCCCCGCTGCTGCTGTGGCTCCGCCAATTGGTTAGCTTTCCAGGCAGCCACAGCCCTTGTGGATCTCCCCAGTTTTTTTGGGGGGGGGGGGGTGCTTAACCCTTTCTCTGCCAGTCACTTCCTCTTTGAAATCCAGCTCCTTTTCTTTTATTCTTCACTATTTATTCTGGATTTAGCAATGCATGCGCTTCCTACATCAGAAAACTACATCCACAGAACCTCAAGTCAGCTATTAACTACCACAGTGCCAACAAGCAAATTCAGCTAATGTGCGCTATAACCCATCCCAACACCTTCCAGGCAGTCAAGGATGGGGAAGGGGGGAGACATAAAGGTGCAGTCCAGCAGGTCGTGAAGCACCAGACTAGAAATGACTCCTACCCAAAATATTTTGTTCCCAAGTTCTTGGCAACGTTCTGTACACAGCAACAAGCCACAACTCTGCTGCAATGAGGGGGACTTCTTATAGCAGCAGGAAAGGCCTAGAGAGCCCCCACCCCCACCCCCCAGGATGCCACACAACCAAGCCATGATGCTCAATATGTCCACACGATTTTTTTTGTGCAACACAAAATTAGAAAGTGGCAACAGGTGAAACGTTGCGTGTCCATACGTGGAAGCTCAATGACGTGTGGCCACTATTTTGCCCCCGTTCCTGCCTCTGAGCCAGGCCAAAGCTGTGCCTCCTGTGGATCATCCCCCTGAGCCCCTCTCCCTGTGCCTGCCTGAAAGCTCAGATGAAAAGAACCGGCCTGTTGCGCAGGGACTTGGCTGGCACAGGCCTGAAGGGGAGCCAAGCTCTTCCAGCTCCCTCCCCCCTGTCCAAACACATTTGGGACTCTACAGACCGGTGGACGGGTGATTTAAGGAGCCGAGTCCTCCGCCGCAGGCTGGCTGCCTGGCTTGCCCAGAGCCACCTTAAATGGCATTGGCCGCCTTCTGGTCGGTGTCCAATGGGGACCTCCTGACTCCCCTGGAAAGAGGCAAGCAGTGGGGTGCAGATGTGGGAGCGGAAGATCCCATCTTTGGCCAAACAGAGACTCCTCTTGGCTCAGGACCCGTCCATTTCTTTGGAGTTTTTCCTCCCATTTCACCTGCTTTTTCCTTTTCTGATATTCCAAGATGTTGCTAGTTCTCACCCTCTGGCAAGCTCTTTCCCAAGCCCTGGCTGCAAGTGGGGGTAAGTGGCGTTTTTCTTTTTCCTCCCAGCCCTTTGTTTCTTCATGGGGCCCCTCTGCCTTTCTCCAGGGGGACCCACTGCAATTAGGCAGCTCGGGGAGAGGGAAGGGGGGCTTTTTCTGGCAGAGACTTGGATGGACACAACAAGGCAGCTACCCCTGGTAACCACTCTGGGCTGCTGAGGCATTTTAGTTTTTTTTTAAAAGACGCTTATTTGTTTCTCTGAAAGCAAGCGAGCCCCTTCTCAGACTAATCCTTTGGATGGAGCGCTGGCAAAGTTTGCAAACAACTCTGCTCTTTGCAGGGAGGAAGGTTCGCAGAGGGCCTGCCCTCGTTTCTCTTCTGTTCTGTTAGGGCTCCCAGAAGCTGTAATGCCTACAGGCACTGGCAGTGGCTTCTAGAATTATCTATCACTCTCTCACTTGTAAGAAAGAAAGAATGAAGCTGAAAATACTCTTGATAAAATGGGAGAGTAACAATCCTGGGAAAATATTTACAAAGAAGCTGCCTGAGAGCAAGCACGGAAACGGTAACACTATTCTTGAAAGAAAGTTTCTGAACTGAACAGCCCAAGAGACGGGGAAAGAGTGAGGAAAACAGAGTAATGAGAAAAGAATAAAAATTTTAGAGAATACAACCATTTGTCACGAGAAGACTTCAGATGGGGAATTAGCATGAGTCTCTCCTGGAAGCTTTGAAAGCTAACCCAGAGGTGCTTTTTCCAAAAAGGCAATTGGACTTTCTAGAACTGGAGAAGCTTCTTGGATGAGAAGCAAAACTTTTTCATGGGGGGGGGGGGAGACCACCAAAAAAATCCAGTTGCCTTTTGGAGAAAGCACAGATGACAACCCAGATGACTTGAGAATCTCCACAGACATTTGAAGGCAATTTATGCCAAAGGTTTTTGGATGCTGTGCTCTTCAATCAGATCCATCAATCGTCCTCAACTCTCTCGTGCGCACGCGCTCTACGGCATGATCTGCTTCCCGTGGCTTATGGACTCGGCCACTCTGCAATCTGGGCTGACAACTCCCAAACTGTATCTGAGGCTGCAAACACAAGCCCTTCTGGCAGGCCCAGACAGGTGGAGCTCAAGGGGAGTGGACGGCAAGGAAATGGCAGCCTGACACCTGCCTTTTGCCACAGGGAAGGGGGAAAGAGCACTGGGTGAGGCCTCTTTGGCAGAAGGGCAGAAAGCCACCGTCTCAAGCCGGGTCTAAACGAGGGTGCCAAGATGTAGACAGGAATGAGGCTATGTGCTAGGCTAGACCCCCAGGTCCTCCGAGAGACAACGGCAGCATCTGAGGGATCTCTGCTCTGGGACTGCTCTCAGCTCTGGGGAGGAGGCCAAACACACATCTTCACGCCACCAGCCAGAATAAATTTAGCAGCAGCTCATGCGCCTTCAGGAGGTGACATGTCTGCTCACGGCCAGCTGTCCTTTTTCGGGGTGGAAGAATTCAGTTTCTTTTCTCTAGTGTATCAACTCAGGTTTCATTCTTTCAAAACAGAGAAAGAGGCTATCGCCTAGATCTTAAAAAGCAGCCCCCTTATTCCAAAGGTCTGATAGGAGGCTAGTCTTGCAGTCCCAGTTGGCAGTGCTTTTAGGTCCCTGGAGATTAGCTGATCTTTTTTTTCCAAAGCTCCTTTTCTGAAATAAAGGACAGGATTCCAGCACAGGGGAGAGAATGCAGGTCAGAATATCACGCGCCGGTACCCGTTCCCTTTTAAGAGCGGGACTCCCGCGGACACAGCCGTGCCACCTCCCGTCAAGCTAGAAGGGAGCAACTGCTCCCATATCCGATTGGTGCATGATCACCTCACGGTCTGTTGTGGAAACGGGTGTGGGATTCTTCCCTTGTGAAGGGTTCAGCCCTGTTCTTGCAGCTCACAGGTGGGTTTCTTTGCTATGGGCTCTTTCTGCCAGGACGGAAGTGGCCCCACATCTGGAGCTGTCAGCCAAGAGTCTCTTCCTCTGCCCTTCTCCTGCAGGTTCCCACTGGACATATGAAGGTAAGGAGAAACAGCTGCAAGCAATACCTTACTCTGCTCATCGGAATTGCAAATGTAGCCACAAAGTCGGGAGGGGCTGCCCAAACGTGCCTCTTCGCTGACAAAGCCTCCCACAGTCCTTCGGGTGCTCCAGAAAGGCCCTTCGGAGGTCTCCAGTAGGAAAAAAAAAAAAAAGGCACTTCCAGAATAGGGGGAGGAAACATTTTGTGAGAGGAGGGGGGCCTTTCTGCATCCTGGATCCATAAGCCTTTTCTCTTTTTCCAGGCTCTGACGGGCAGACGCACTGGCCAGAGAGATATCCAGACTGTGGTTGGCAGGCTCAATCGCCCCTCGATATCCAGACAGATTTGGTCCAATATGATTCTTCTCTGCCTCCCATTGAGCCAGAGGGATACCGCGACCCTGGGAGTGGCTCCTTGACCCTGACCAATAACGGGCACACAGGTAAGAACAATTCACAGGATCTGTTGTTTATTGTGCAAAGGTCTGGTTGAGAAGACAATGCTTTTTCCGTCTTCCCCATCTTGAGGACTAGTAACTCTAGAAAGAGCACCATACCATAGATCTTTGTGATAGTGTTCCTCCTCCCCGCTGGCTGCCAGCTGAGGCTCCTTGCTCTCTGCCTCCACAGTGCAGCTCTCCCTCCCCGAGAACCTGCGCCTGCATGGCCTGCCCAGCCTCTACTCAGCAGTGCAGCTACACTTCCACTGGGGCAGCAGCGACAGCCGGGCCGGGGGCTCCGAACACCGTGTGGATGGTCAGGCCTTCCCAGCAGAGGTAAGCCAGCGGTACTTACATGCAGGCAGCCCCAGCTGGGCCCCTTGCTGGGGCACAAGCAGTGGCTGAATTGGCCCAACACTCCGCCTCCTTTGGCCAAGGAAGCCCAGTTCTACCGGAGTTATCTGGGGACTGCAACACCCAGAATGTTCATCGAGGCTGGCTGGGAATTCTGGGGACTGCAGACTGGAAAGCCTATATCCAGGTCTTTTTTTCTGAAGGAGCCACTTTTCTGTGCCTACTTTTGCATGGACTGGTCTGGACCTTTCCCATATCTGTGGCCCCCAAATGACTTGGGACTCTAGCGTGATGGGTCCTGTTGATCACTGTCAGTTGCATCCCCTCCTTCACCATGGGCGTGTTGCGATTTCTCTTTCCTCCGTAACTGGAATCAGTCTCTCCTCAGAGGGACTTTGCCCAGCCCTCTGGCCATGGGCTGAAGGAGGAATGGAGCTGCTTTTCATAGTCGGAAAAGCTGACTTGGCTGCCTGCAAGAAGAAATCCCAACTCCACCACATTTCGATAAAAGTCACGAAGCTTTTCCTCCCTGCCCTTTAACTCTTTGTCTTCACCCTCAGCTTCATGTGGTCCACTTCAATTCAGAGAAGTACACCAACCTGAGCGTGGCCAAACACCAACCGGATGGGCTGGCGGTGCTGGGCATTTTCCTGGAGGTGAGTGTCTGCCGGGTGAAGATGGTGCCGTGGCCACTCTCCAGAACTGTCGAGCACTTCCTTGGTTCCTCCACCCTCCACCCTCTCCTTCTTGGCCACTTTAGGGTCCCTCCCTGCTCCTTTACACCAGGCATTCTTTAGACAGCCACCTGCCAACCGTACTGACTGCTGAAAAATACAGATCCAGTGTTTAATTAACATCCTTCCAGAGCTTCTGGCAGGGGGAGGCCCAGGAAAGCTCTCCTTACAGACTAGGTGGCTTAAGCTCTAGGCTCCCCTGCTGACAAAAGGGGGACGCAGCCACCACTGGTGTTTGAGGCACTCCAGGGTTGACTTCTTCAACAGAAGGCATACAGCAAAACACTTGCAAAAATCATGACCAGAAGTCGGTGCTCTAAAGGAGGCATGAGTGAGTCCCATCTAAAGGAGCCTGCATTCTTACCCGATTTGCCTAAAACTCTCTTGGGCCTCGAAAATTCCTGTGTGACGGTGCCACAGAACCTTCTTTCCTGAATAAAAACTGCTTCCTTGGCAAACCTTCACCCACGGTGCCAAACAGAGTGATGCAGTTTATTTAGTCACCTTCTCCTATCCCTTGATCCGTGTTTCTTTTCTCTCTCTCTTCTGTTTTAAAACTTCTCCTCTGCCCCACATGAAGCAAATTATTCAGCTACAGGCTCCGCGCCAGCCTTTGGTGGCCTGGCAAAGAAAGAGAGCCATCACTGATCAACAGGGAGAAGTCACTTCTTCTTTGCATCTGGCAGGTTGACAGTGTGGAGAATCCTGCCTACAACCACATCTTGGACCGTCTGGACAGCATCCTTTATGCAGGTAGAGGGTCCTTTGGGGGAGGGAAGGGCTGGCAGGGGGGACGGACAAAAGCACAAGGGAGAGAGTGGAACGGCTGGCAGAGGCCCTGAAATCCTAGCTGGGCTCTGGAGGAGGATCGAGACGTCACGTGTCACTTTGCAGTCTGCTTCTTCAAACACACGTCGTTATTTTACAATAACGGTGAAAACAAAGCATTCAGGATCATTAATTTCTTGAAAGAAAAGTGCTGGAAAATAGATTTTATATTCCCAGTGGTTCTCAGTAGTGAGATTCTTCAGAAGCAAGCACTTAAAAGCCCATCAGCCAGGGAGTTGCTCTGCAAAAAGGTCCCCTGCCTGTTCCTTGGAGCTGGGAGGCCAGACTAGGCAGGCCTCCAGCCTTATACAGCCTCAGGCATGCAACAGGAAGGCTCCCAAAAGCCAGCCCTGGTCTCTCTTCCCCCCCACTGCCCCCGGACCTCTTTTGTCATCATTCCAGTTTTCTCTTTCCATTTCCCCAACTCCTAAACTCACCAGAGCAAGAAGTCACCGTTGCTCCGTTCAATGTGCGAGAGCTGCTCCCGGCGCATCTGGGCCACTACTACCGCTACAATGGTTCACTGACAACCCCGCCTTGCTATCAGAGTGTGCTGTGGACGGTTTTCCACCAGTCAGCTCGCATCTCTGCCACTCAGGTAGAGCCTGAAAGATGAAGTGGTTCAGTTTAGGCAAAGGGTCTGCATGTTGGATGGGGGAGGGGGGCAGCCCCAGGACGGCTGTTGGAGAAGGGGTTCTCATTAGTCAATAGAAACGGGTTACGTCCATCGGTGGGGGAGGGGTGTGTGTGCAAATTCCTCTAGAGAAAACTAGTAGCAGGCTTGACTCACATCTTTTATAGCTGGAGAAGCTGCAGAAATCTCTTTATTCTACAAAAGATGGGAAGACCCCCTCCGAATTGCTGATCAGCAACTTCCGGGTGCCCCAGCCCTTGAACCAACGCCTGGTCTTCACCTCCTTCCCTGTCGGTGAGCACAGAGGCTGCTTTCCTGGGTGTTTTGTGTGCATGGACTCACCTGTAGAGATGGGGGAGGCTGCCCTCTGGTGGACAAATTTGGCCCAGCACCTTTCTCTCCCTTCCCTTCTAGGGCCATCGGAATACTCTGCAGGTGCGACTCCCCTCCTATGATGCTCAAGGGGGCCAGGCGCAACTTGCACAGCCAGCTAGCCAAGCTGCAGTGGTGGTGGAGGACAGGAGCCTTGCCAATCCAGGCCTACCCTGCCCTGGGGCCAGAGAAGGACCACTGATTAAAGAGCTGGCCATCATGGGTGGGGATGGGGAGGTGTTTCTGTCAGTCAGAACTTCCAATAATCATGCAAAGAAAATGAGAAATGAGCCGGCAGGCCTGACCACCTTTCTGGAGTTCTAGAACGACAGCTACTATGGTAGTTAGTGTTTTTTAGCCATGAACTTCCTGGCTTACACCTCAGTTTGCTCACTGTTCTAGTCCTCAAAGAGGAAGTGCATTCCATTTTTAAACTTGGGGTGTATCCATCTCCCCCCCCCCCATCCTCTCTTTAACTGTTCTGACCTCTTTCCCTCTTTTCTCTTTCCAGGTGAGGTCATTGCCATAATTGTTGCAGTGCTCTTGGGCTGCCTGGGTGTCTTCCTTGCTGGTTGGATTTTGGCAAAGAGAAGCCGGTGAGGAGCAGGTGAATGTGGGATGCCAGCCCGGTTCCTGTCTAACTGCATTGCAGTGCCAGAATAAGGGAGGTTCCCACCTGTTTTGTTCTGGAGGGGCAAGTGATTGAAGTGATCCTTTCCATCACCCCACTCCTCGCCAAGTGGAGTACCATGAATGTGAAAACCGTGAGAGAATTTCACTGGAAAGAGAACACAATAGATATTTATTAAACTTCCTCCTGCCCCTATCGTGAGCTTTGTGTTTTTCTACTCTAGTGAACAAGAATGGCAGGAGCAAAGGGCCACTGCAGAAGCCTCCCCACCAGGACAAGACTTCCACCTACAGCCCTGCCATCTTTTCTGTTCTTTGTGGAAGCCACAAGTATTTAGACTGGGGGGAGGGAGGGGAAACCAGCAAGATCGTCTGGAGAAGGAACTAGCCCAACCAACACCGGCCTCCCTCTTCTGCCACGCTGCCCAGCTGATTTCCCTCTCCAGCAAGATCAGGAAGAGGCAGTTGGCACCTGGGAAAGAGTTTCTCCTCCATAATGCTGTGACTCCTAAGAGAATCCGCAGCCCCACCAAGACTCCCTTTATCATTTTAAACACAAAGCTGCTATTGTATCTCCTGCCAACTTCCATGGTTGCCAAAAGAGAGGAAGCCATGGGAATCCCAAGGCCCAGGTTGAATATCTGGGCTGGTCTCGCCCAGTATTCAGAATCCCACTCAACAAAACACAACTGCCACATTCACAAAACCAGCTGTGCTGGGACAATGGCTGGCTTCTCAGAACACTTGGGTGACAAACCACTCAGCCCTATTTGAGTCAAGACAAACACGCTGTGCAAACCCAGCTTTTGAGCTTGACCAGCCTTTTAATCAGGCAGCGTAAGCAGAAGTCTACATCCAGAAAGGGCTCCATGGCGTGAGACATCTTTGTGCCACCCACTGGCAGGGCCCGCTTTCCTCATTGCCCAAGGTGACCCAACATGAGAACAGTTACCAGAGAACTCTTTTTATTAACCGCACCATGAACCAACTCATAAAAGGATTTAGGGCTCAACATTAAAGAAAGAAAGTAGGATTGGGACTTTATAAAAAAGAAGAATTAAGTCAGAGCAAGAAAGATCCTTTGTGTTCATATAGACACAGTGGCACCTCCTAGCCAGCAGATGGTGCTCTTGCGCCCCACCAGGTCCAGTGTCTATACAGGATTACCCAGTGGATGAAGGAAAAGTTCAGGCTGAGAACAAAGGGATTTTGTTGGCACACGGGGAACTTAACCGTAGCCCACAAAACCTCCAGCAGAATCTACTAGGGAACATAAGGGACTGGGGCTTGCTCAGCTCTCCAGGAGAAGCCGAGTGTTCATCTTCCAGGGCAAGCAAAGGAGAATAAACAGAGCTGGAGGAAGGAGAGGGTTCCCAGCCACAAGCCACAAGGCACACAGCTAGTCTTCCTGCATTCCAAGCCATCTTTTAAGCCAAGGAGCCTTTTCTACCTTCCCAGGGCCAGGCAGGAGCTCCAACCATCTGAGCAGCTCGGGGAGCCCTTGTCCCAGGTGAAGACCCACATTCAGCAGTGTGGAAATTGTCCTGGGGGGGGGGGGGGCTCATCTTTCCTAGGAAGCTTCTGACCACCAGGACCCAATGGGCAGGGACTCAGTCCTCCACAGGGAGTTGCAGCTCAGAATACACTATAATGTGGCCATCCCCTTTCTCCCTGCCTACAAGGAAGGACAGAATAATTAACCTGCGGGCAAACCCGAGACAAGGCACCAAGTAAGTCTTCCAAGTTCGGATCACCCTCCTCTGGCTTCTAGAACAGATGGAACAGGGTGGGCAAGGGAGAACTGAGACCCAATCTGTATTCCTCAACTGCATTGCACCCCGGATGCAGGACCCCCCCCCCTTTTAGGCACTTTCGAGAGAACAGTGAAAGGCCTCCCAAAATTCTTGCTGTTCTTCTCCCCCCCCCTCCACTTCCCTCTTTTCCAAACCCCACAAAACCCATGGCCCTCACAGGAAAGGCAGGCAAGGATGTTGCGCAGTGAACCACCAGCTGTGAAAAAGGACCACACCCCTGTCGAGATGGTGATGAGGAAGATGGGAATGAGGCTTGCTTCATAGCATGGGTTCAGAAATGTCTGTGGGGAGAAAGTGAGAGAGGATTTCAGAAGGCAGCTGTATCTGCAGTGGTTCCCCCGCCCATCCATTCCCTCCCTCTGCCTTTGAACTGAGAGACTTGGCCTGGTCTGCTAAGTGGCCCATTTTGTCCCAAATGCAGAGCAAATGCAGAGTACAATTCCCTCCTGGGGAAGTACAAGCCCTCTGTGTCCCCAAGGGAAAAGTATTTTAAGTACGTTCTGTTAAAGGAACTACATTGCTTTGGCTCCCGTGATTCACTAAGACATAAACCATGGCTTACAATCACAACTGGCTGGAAACCGGAAAGTTGGTTATCTTTTCCCTGTTTTCAGACATTTCCCAAGTCAAGGGACAATTGGCTCAGCGTCTTTGGGAGGTCCTTGTCCTGAGCAATCACACAGTAGACCTATGAAGGCTTCAACCAACATTTGTTTGTTTGACTTTTCTCCTTTTAATCAAATTAACCTATTTTGAGGTTATCCAGCAAGAAAGCCCTTTCCTGTTGCAAATTTTTTTCTTCTGTGATTTCAAGTTTGACCATGAGGTTACTCCATGCTCAAATATAAGAGAAACTTGTTCCTGTAGTAAATGATCTGGGGATCATTATTGAATAGATTCTGCTTAGCAAATAAAAAAAATATTTTTTTAAAAAAATATCTTTCAAGCATGTTGGGCTGTTAACCTTTCTCCCTTCCTCAGAAATAATGGATGGGTGGGATCTCTTCTCCTGGAGAAAGCCAATCTAGAAAGAATAGAAGCTCAGTACTGCCTTCTTAAGAGGAGAACCAGATCAAACACACATTTTAGCACAAATCCTGGGCAACCAGATCTCCTTCCAGATCCACTCACCAGTCCAGATATCACCAGGTGGCTGACAATCACCAGGGCCAGCTTCCAGTAGTGCGTCTTCTCACAGGCATGGAAGAAAAGGGTCCCCCAGAACATGTGTAAAAAAACCAGGGCCATGGTCAGAGAAGCTGAATTGAGAAGCCAAGAAAGGGGAATTCAGCCACATGACATGCCCGAGTTTGTGCAAAGCCTGAGACGGCTCAGAGAACGGAATTGGGGCCAAGCACAGCAAAACATCAGACAGGGACAGTCATAAAAATGTCTAACAAAAGGATTAGGAAAATATTAGAAAACTCTGAAAAAATAGTTTATTGTAAATGTTTATGGAGATTCTCAATCATCCCAATCACGGTTGTTCCAAAAGTGCTTTCTTTTTTCAAAAGGCAACTGGACTTTCTTGTTTTTTTTCTTTCTGGAAACCTTTTGCTTCTCATCCAAGAAACTGGATCTCATCCTCAGAACTGAAGAAGTTTCTTGGATGAGGAACAAAACATTTTCAAAGAAAGAAAAAAAACCAAGAAAGTCCAATTGCCTGGTGAAAAAAAAAGTACTTTGAGGACAATAACTTTACTGTCTTAAGCATTTTCTTAAGGAGAGCCTTAGGATTTTTTTTTTCACACCTGTCACAACAAAATGCTTTTTCTGTTTCGGTGGGGTTTGCAGCTCAGTCTACACACATCATACTCCGGCCTGAAGAAGCAGTTATGCCAAAAGTTTTATAGATTCCTCCCTGCATCAAAACCTGTCTCGTGGAGGGGGGCGGCTGCCTTTCTACAGCCTAGCCAACTGAATCTCATACTTTTTCTGATTCTAAAATGTCTGAAAATGCCTCTTGCTAAAACACCAGAGGGACCAGGGGAAAAGCCACATATAGTCTTTTCGTTTTTTTTAAAGAAATGTTTGTTTCGGCAATCTTTCCACCCACAAAAGGCCCTACCTGAAGTGATGAAGTAATAGGGCGAATCCCCATGGATGCCAACTGTGCTGGGACCAATGGAATCTGCAAGGATGTTAATGACGGAGAAGACGGCGCTGATAATGCCAAAGGAGAGGCCGGACACTACCGGTGAGTGGAAAATCAAGAGTGGAAAACATTTGAAATGGTTTGCCCAATTAGCAGTAACTCTGGCAGCTGTTTAGAAAAGACCCAGCACGGGCACTCCAAAAAGGCAGTTCCCAAAACGAGAGAGAAGCTTTTTGAGGCATAACTATTTTGAAAAGGATGCCAGATGTGCAGCAGCCACTTAAGCTAAGCTTGAGGTCATCAAAAAGCCCCCGACTCTCCTCTGTGGCAACCCCCATAGCCAGAGGTTCACTCACCATAGGGCATTTGTTTGGTCAAAACGGGGGATCGCCCATCTTCGCTTATGGTCACAAGCCCTTCATCTGCTTTCCTAAAACGGGACGCAGAGGAAGCGGGGAACTCATTAAGCTCCAAAAATACCAGCAACAAGTGGCCGCCTCCACCTCCTTTTTTCCTCTTTGTTCTTCTTGGATTCTTTGCCCCATTTAGGTTCAAGGAACATTTCATCTTGAATTAACACCATCACTAACTCTAACTCTACCACGCAATCCCAAGAAACAGAGGACCTGATTCACCGATCCCAGCTTAAGCTAGAGTCCCACCTGCAAATGAAATAAAGAAAGGATGCACAAATAAATATCCTGAGAGAAAGACTGCCTATCCTCAAAAGACACCTTACTCTGATTGCTGAAGTCAGTACCAAAGAAAGCATTGGAGGAGGAGAATTATTTACTTAGTAAAAGGTTTCCCACTCTTTACTGCCCTCAGACCGCAGTTCCTGGGAATCTCTGGAACAAGTTTATGTGGAAAAATTAAGAAAATTAGGCCAGGCATAGACTGGCTCCAGGGACTGGCCAGCTGTCTCTACCTCTCCCTCTCTCCCTCTCTCCCTCTCTCTCTCTCTCTCTCTCTCTCTCTCTCCCCTTACTTGAGGAGCTTGAAGTGAGCAAAGCGAAGGCTTCCTGCAGCAGGACAGACACCACTGCCCCAAACATCAGCAGGCGATGCTGCAGCCATTTGTCCTCCTGGTCACTCAGGCGAAGAGAAATGAACCAGACTAGGGAAGCCAAGAGAAGGGAGACCAACCAAACGAAAGCCCTGGATTTAGAAAAAAGAAAGAAAAAAAACCCATTCATTTCTCTTAGAAGATGCTTTTTGTGGGTTTTGAAAAGATGCCCCGGACATTTCAATTCAACCTGCATCAACTACAGTTAGCCTGATCTAACCATTTATAGTATTTTGCACAATTTGCACTGTTTCTGCCCATCATTTAAAAAAAAAAACAGCAATTCACCAGTTTGCCCTAGAAGTCTGTCTAAATCTTTTCAGTGGCTTGTGAAATTACAGACAGTATCCTTTTTTTTTTTTCAGGCATAATTTGGGAATCCCAAAGGCTACATTAAAAAAAAATAAGTTGATTTTTAACACTGTCAAGGAGCTGGAATTGGCATATGGGGTTATCTTTTTTAATTTTGGTTCAACATCCTAAATATATGCAGAGCTTGTTAAGAGTTTTCTCAACAACACTCCTCAAACCTGAGAATGTTTTCTAATTGAAAGATAGAAATTTATTTCAAGGAAGAGTTGAAACAAAGCGACCTTGGTAATAAAGGAAAGCACCTGAGGCAGTGGGGTTGACGTCTAAAAGTCCCACTTGACTAGCCCTGATGAAATTACCTAGTTAGGGTTATGAAATGTCTGCAAGAAAATAACCAAGCTCAGAGAGCACCAAGGAGCCCTGAGTAGTCAAAGGCAGGCTTGGCTCTCAGCAGCTCGGAGTCCTCTCTGGGGGAGGGCTTCCCAATTCATCTTCCCTACACTGGGGGGGGGGGGGCGGTTTACTTAATTTCCCTCTGCGGGGGAAGGGGGGAATCAGCAGAAGTCAAGCCAAAGGCTTCTTGCACGAAAGAAGGTACGGAAGGCCAGGCCAGAGCACCTGAGGGCAGGGCTTTCCCCTGGATCTGCCCCTGCCTCACTGGCCGCCCAAAGCCGGGGGACGGGGAGCTGCTCGGAGAAACTTCCAAGCAGGCCCAGGTGGCAGCGGAGTGGCTGGGGCAGCTGACGTTTTGGTCATCCCAAGTAAAAGGCCGCCTCTCTTTCCTGGCCAGCCACTTTCTTACAGTCGGACACGCTGGCTGTTGTACCCACGAGCGCCTGGGCTTTTCAGCCGCAAACGGGCCTTACGAGGAGTTGTGTTCCCCGGGTTTCCTGTGAGGGCGCCCATCGGAGCCCGGCCACCGAAAAAGAGGCCACGGCTACTCAATGCACAGCTGACGGGACCAGTGGTGAAATCCAATTTTTTTTTACTACAGTTTCGGTGGGCGTGGCTTGGTGGGCGTGGTGTGGCTTGGTGGGCGTGGCAGGGGAAGGATACTGCAAAATCTCCATTCCCACCCCACTCTGGGGCCAGCCAGAGGTGGCATTTGCCAGTTCTCCGAACTACTCAAAATTTCCGTTACCGGCTCTCTAGAACCTGTCAGAACCGGGACCCGCCGCCGCTGGCAGCCCCCCTTCCTTGCTGAACTGGGAAGGGGGCACAGCCAGCCACCCTTCAGCCCCTCCGCCCGCCCCCGCTCTGACCCTGCCACCAGGATAATGACACGCAGAGGGTCCCCGGCCTAGTTAGCAGGCAGAGTGCCAGCGCCGGCCTGAAGGTGATGAAGGAGCAGCAGAAAAACACGCCCACCCCCATCGTGCCTCGGCAGGGGGAGGAGCAGCGAGGGGAGGACTGGGATGCCCCTGGGCGGAGCTCCCCGCACAGGCACCCTGGGAGCTGCAGTCCCCCCCGGAGGAGAACACGGACCCAATTGGGGCCGTCCGAGCTCACGGCAGGTGGGGATCCGCTTGCTGGTGCCTCGCCAGGGGCATCCTGCCCCCGAGGCAGCCAGTCACGGAGCGCCAAGGAACGTGAGGCATTCGGCTGTCTCTAAGGCACCCTTCTGCGAGGGGGAAGGGGGTGGCCGGTGCCACTGGCTTGGAGCTCCGGCAACGAGCGAGGCTCTGGACTGGCGGTTTCCGCCTCTTCCCTGCTGGCCCACCTGACACTAAGCTCAGTGCAGGAGAGGGTGGCAACCCTGGGCAAGGAGCCAGAGGCAGAAGCAGCCCAGCTTCTGCGAAGGTTGCCAGTTTGCAGAGGAAGAGCCACGCTGCAAGATTGTCAGAAGGAAGCCAGTGCCCGCAGGAAATCCCGGGACAGCCTGACTCCTTTCTCGGGTCTGTGGTGGGGACGGGCGAAACCCAGATGTCCCTCAATTCCCGGGCCCACCGGGCCCCGGGGCAGCAGCCCCGGACTGCCAGATTTACAATAAGTATAGAAACTAAACAGACCCACCTGGATCAGAGAAGCTTGTGAAGCCATAAAAAAGGCCAAAATTGGGAAAGAGCCTGTTGGGCCAGATGGTTTACCTGCCTCTCCTTCCTTAAAAACAGACGAGACAGGAAATCTACCCAGACTGACAGTTGGACAGAGGCCAATATGGCATTAATATCCAAAGGAGGTCATTAGATATAAATTACTGGAAGAAACAGTAAAAGAAAATATGATAAGATGGGCCAGGGACATAGGGCACAACATTCAACTGGCAAACTGGGAGAAATTGTGGAAACAGAACATCAAAATGACAAGAGCCATACCCTACAAAGAAAACCTCATAAAAATATTTTACAGATGGCACCTAACACCAGCCAGACTAGCCAAAATATATCCAAACACCTCCCCACGCTGTTGGAAGTGCAAAACAAAAAAGGGGACATACTACCATGCCTGGTGGAAATGTACAAAGGCCCAACAATACTGGAAGGACACAAAGGAAATTATTGAAGAAATAATAAACCAACAAGTAGAAAACACTCCAGAATTTTTTTTATTTGGAATGATAACAACACAACACAACAAAGAGACAAAATACCTCATCATACACATCTTGACAGCAGCACGGTTACTGTTTGCGCAAAATTGGAAATCAGATCAACTCCCAACCAAAGACAAACTAATCTCGAAGATAACAGAATGTGCCGAAATGGATAGACTGACACTAGAACTCCAAGATAAAGAAGAAAGTGAATTCTATCTTGTATGGCACCAGTGGTATCAATGGCTAGAAAAGAAAATCAGTACAAATATAGATGAAAGAAAATAGGGTAGAAAAAATAAAACCGGAAATAAACAAATAAAGAGGAGATGCAAGATTATTTCTAATCTAAAACATCCAAATTGACAATGTATTACTTATATATTAACTTATAAAGCAATATATATTCTGATGATGATCAAAACATATATGTAAAGTTTGGTGTGGGTAGGTTGGTGGTGGGAACTTGTTTGTCTTTGTAATGTCTTTGTATTTTTTGTATTGTCTTTTTATCTCTGTTTAAAACTCAATAAAAATATATATATATATCCAAAGGAGGTCAGCACTAATGAATAGTGACTGTACATTATTAAGGATGTTTTTGGCCAAGAAATCCTGAAAAGGGTCCAAGAAAATGGGTCTTTCTGGATTTTATTCACAAAAGATCAACCTAGGTTTTTAACCAAAAGATAAAACTGTTCCCACTGTGTCTTTGTGATTTTGTTTCTCCATTTAGGTAAGGCAATATCTCTGACAGGATGAGCCAACAGATGATTGTCTCGTCTACTACCTCACCAGTGCACAGATCAAACGGAGAATTATCAAAACCTTGTGAGATACAAAAAGTGACGTAGCTGCCCCTTCTCACCCTTGTTATTCTCCTCAGCTCTGGAACAACTGAACGGAGACATGAGACAAAATAATTTCTGGGGTGAGGATTAAAAGGAAAACATGAATTATGGGCATTTGCCCAGGATTTGATAATTCTGGAAAATCCTTTGGAAGCAATAGAAATATTAATGGAAAAATTAAAGGATGTTGGTGCTTAGCTGGATTCAAAATTAATAATGAGAAAATAGATAAGGATGGAAGAGCAAAAGAATTGGTGGGAAAAATAGTTAAAGATTGAGACAAAAAGGGAAGTTGAGAAAAAGTATGAGTAGTAACGAGCATTACTATGACTAATACGGATTCTACGTTATTTCAGAACAATTATGTTAACAGGTGGAATGAAATTAAGAAGGGTACGCTAAATTTGGAAAAATTATAATTGTCATTGTTGGCCAGAATATCTTTGGCCTACAGTGATGCTTTTGCTTCAGACCATTCCTCCTTTGGTAACGGATGTGCCACTGAAGCAATGGCAGACAGATCAAGGTTTGTGTGGCAAGAGAAAAAAGCCAGTTCTGCAAAACCTTGCCAAGAAAATGGCAGTCTTCAAAACATCAGATACAATTGAATGGAAGAAGAAGGAAGAGTGCCTTACCACATACAGTGCAAGGACTGCTATAGCCACTGTGGAAGGAGGACAGGTGGGCAGGAAGACATCCCCTCCAGCAGCCAAGATTCTAAGCAGGGATCTGCACCAGACGAAGAAAAGATGGAAAGCAGTATTCCGCCAAGGAAAAAAATCACACCCGCACTCAAACTGGCAGGGCAAGCTACAGGCAACAAACCCCACACTCGTTCATGCTGATGAAGTTTCCTAGTTGGGTAATGAAGCACCAAGAAGTCCACTTTTTTCTTGTACAATTATAATTAATCAGTTCGTAAGAGGTTAAAAGGAAAGTGGTCAATTAATTAATTATCTAATTGTTTGCTAATTTTACTCAAGATCAGTAGAGTAAAATGCTAATTTTACACAAGGAACGCTGTAAAAGGAGTGCTTTATATTCACACATGCTCATTTGTGTGCAATCCCCCATTGAAAACGAGGGGAAAACTTCAGTCCAATAACAATTCATGACCATCTGTGGATTTCCGTAAGACATGATAGGGTCCCAATAACAATGCTTCGAGTACACAATGTATCTTTAGAAAAGAACATTTGTAGCTTGGTGTTGTAGGAAACAATGAAATTCAAAAATAAAATCCTTTGTATTACCAACCGTTAAGAAGTAGTCTGTGCTAAAACAGCACATGGCTAGGAAATTTGGATGATAATAGCAGGTAAAACAAACAAGGGCGGGAAGGGGATTAATGTATTCTTAATAGGCGCCTCGGATTAGTTGTAACCCCAGAGGACCTATCCAATGAGACCAAAGGGGAGGGAAGGGGGCATCGCGATCGGGTGTATAAAATGTCTTGCTTTTGAATTCAGGGGTGTGGCTTTTGGATTAGAACTTCCTGTTGAAGCTTCTAGCCGAGACCCCACCACACTTTGCAAACTGCTTTTTTCATTTTATTTTGGGTAAATAAACTTCTTTTCTTACCAATCCAAGTTTTTTTGTGTGTGGAATCATTTCCAACAGTGTCGAACTGTGGGGTCCTTGGTGGTCTCTGGGCTTGGTTTTCTTGCAGACGTTTCACTACCCAACTAGCTAACATCATCAGTGCTAGGTGATGATGCACCGATTACTAGCACCGATGTTACCTTGTTGTAATTAAAAGCCTGTGAGAAAACAGGACCACACACAATGCATCTTTTTAAAAGGCAGATTATGAATTCGGCTGTTAAGACACTGGCCATCTAGGATGGAAATAGGCAGTAGTTTTACAGTGAATAGATACAGAGAAAGAAAGGAGGCAGCACGCTGTACCTGCCCTACACAAGAGACACACTCAAACGACCCCAAACTGCAGACACGTGACGGAAGCAAAGAATATTCTGTTGTTCTTGTACTTTCCCACCATTACTTTATCAAAACAATGATTTTTTTTAGCCAGCCTCTAGTCTGCAAATATATATGCACATGGAAAGCAACATGATAGATTGTGTCACAACAATGAGTGTTGCTGTATAGCACGCAGGAGACCCTTTTTTAGAGAAAAGGAGCGAGGGGAGAACAAACTTCAGAGCCCGGTTATCGCAGGTCACAAGGGGTCCCGGACCCCCGCTTGATCGGCAGCCCCGCCCACAGCCCCGCGTTGCTTCCAGAGCGCCTCGGGCGCACACAAAAGGAGACATCGGTGCCCGAGAGCTGGCGGTGGGAGGGAAGAGGGTCGAGCCGTGGGGGCTCCGCGCGTCCAGCCAATCGCCTCCCTGGGGCGGAGAGCGGCGTCGAGAGCCACGCCGGGAGAGGCGGGGCATCTGCTAGGGGGCCCCATGCGCCGTGTCATGGAGGCTCAGTGTGCGAGCGGCCATTGAAGGGAAAGGAGCTGCGTGTTTCGCAACAGGAGGAGGGATCGGGGTGGCAGAGAAGCCCGGAGTTCTCAACTCCGCTCGCACCGCCTTCGGGGCCCTTTGCTGAACAGCCGAGAGGGGGGGATTCTCCCTTTATTTTGTTCTTCTTCTCCCCCTCGCCACGCATCCCCACGCCTGCCTGTCGGGTTCTCCTTAGGTAGTTTGCGCCCCTCCCTCCTTGCTCTCCACTTTGGAGAGGCTTTCCAGATGGAGATGAAAAAGCTGGAAATGAAGAAGCGCGTTAACCTGGAGTTGAGGAACCGCGCGCCCGAGAAGGTGAGGACAAACCCTTGGGAGGAAGGAAATGGAAGATTTTTAAAGATTCCCAGGATTTCCCTCCTCGAGCCTCGATCGTGGCAAAAGCGCGCGGCGATCGATGCGCTCGGCGGCGGCGGAGGAGGGCGCGTGGGGGGCCTTAGCAGCAGAGCGGCCGCCGGACCCGTCTCCTTCGACCAGTCCTTTCAAGGGCTCTTATCCAGGGCCCGACCTCCCAGAGATGGGCTTTTCTCTGCGAGGCCTGGCGGCGGCAACGGCAACGGCCAACTTGGCTTTTCTGACTCTCTCTCCTGCTTCCACCTTTTCCCCGAGCGATCCCGGCGCGGCATAAATCACAGGACGCGAGGTTGCTCCTGCCTTCCGTACCCTAAAGGGGGTTGTTGGAAGCCCGATGCAAGAGGCGAGTTGGTTAACTCTTCCGTTCCCAATGCCGCCTCGGCTCGGGCAGTCCCCGCCGTGCAATCTCTCCCCGCCCCAAACCAGTTAATTAAAAATAAGCGGCGGCTCCAGACGAAGGAGAACCGAGCACGAGAAAGGAGGTTCCCAAGTTAAAACTTTCCTCCCTTCCCCTTCCCCCCCCCCTCATTCCCCCCCTTTTTTTGCAGTTAACGGCTCTTTCGTCAAATCTAGGTTAGGCAGCCTCAACTGTGAAAAGGTGGTGGTGAGTTTTTCACGCTGCCCTCCTCCCACCCAGCAAATTGTCCCTTGGGTTTTTTCCCCCCTTCTCATGCAGAAAAAAGCCAGAGCGTCCGTAAGGGTAGAAAGGCTGGACTCTGTCGGTTCTTGTAGCGAATGTACTTTACACAAATGCTGGTAAACAACCCTGGCTGCAGCTGAATCCATCTTAGTCTCTTCTACGCAGATGAATTAGACTCCTTCCTCTTGTCTCCGTAGAGCGTGGAGGATGGACCCTTTCTTTAAAAAGCAGAAACACGCCACCAAGGCTCCTTCCAGCCAGGCATTTTCAATGAGGTTTAATCTTTCTAAAAAATTGAGGGCAGAAATCGCCTCAAGAGCAGCCATGGATGGGCAACGCCCCTCCCTGTTCCTTGAAATCTCATGCCTGGGCGGTCAAGGAGATAAGGCCAGTGGAGAGAGGACGATAAGCTATGCCTGCCTGCCTGGGGCTTCTGTGCCCTGTGCCTCTGGAGTGCTCACAAAGGCAAGAGTGCGCCCACCTCATGCCCTAGGATGTGATGGCTTACGCTGGCCCTAGGGAACCAGCTGCTTCCGAGGGAGTTTTAATCCAGCCCGTCCCAAGAACACAAGATGGAGAAAGGTGGGGGGAGCCAAAGAACAACCCACCAGAGAGGAGAGACAGGAGACTTCTCATGCCACAGGAGCACTGCAGATAATGCCAGGGGTGCTCCCTCCGCCATAGCTCCCTTCCAAAAGGAGAGGCTGTCCCCAAAGTTAGCTGCATGGTTGGTAGAGGAGCCTAAAGTCTTGGACTGGCCCATTAGGGTTCCCAGGATTGCTCTTCCTCTGTTCCCCTACCACCACCACCTCGGCCTCTGCATGGGATTGAATGGAGATTTCTTTGAGCTTGAGGTTCTTTGGAAGATTGCCAAAAGCTGTGGCTCTTGTAAAATATGCTCAAGCATTGGAGAGGAGGGAGCAAAGTGATCCTCTTGCCCTGTTCCCCTTCCCTGCTGTGGGGAAAACCCAAGGCAGAGCTTCCCTGCATCTTCCTTGCTGATGGGCGACAGGAACTGCCCCTGCACTTGTTCAGAAGGTGCAGAAGATGAAGAATTAACAGCCATCACAGTGCCCATAATGCACAGTACGCAATGAGCCCCCTTCCCTAGTACATTCCTGAGAATAAATGTGAAAAGGCCTTTACTCACCCAATTCGTACATTTTTTTCGGTATTTTCTAGAGAAGAAATTGATGCTTCTTATAGTACCTAGTAAAAAATAAGAGACCACTGTTGTTAAAAGCTTGGCAAGTCTCATTTAAAAGAGAATGCCACTACAAAGCGTGCCATGAACGGCTCCCCTGCCCCTTGGGGAGTCCCCCTGCCCAAATCAACATGAGCAAATGCTGTCACTTAAGACAGGGCTTGCCATGTGAAGGCAATGGTTACATTAAACTTCCATGTATAAATAAATAGTTTCTAGTTTTTATTAGTAAGAATGTTGCTACTGTAACTGTCAAAGTCCTAAGACCTTTCCTTCAGGGCAGGTTTTTTTAAAGGTCTTTGCTATATCTGAGTATGACCTGTCTCGGTATTTTAAAAAAAGTTTTAATTTTTATTACATATGATTATCACGTGTATCCAAAATGAATCTAACTGACCATTGTTTTAGTCATTTAGTCAAGTTTGCACGAGAAAGTTGGGAAATACTTCTAACGTGGCCCCCTCTTGAGTTGAGAGAATGGGGATTTCAGCCCTCCAGCTGAAGGGCGAATGTGCTGCTCTTTCAGGTGGCTGAGCTGGTGCTGGACAACTGCCGGTCCAGCAATGGTGAAATTGAAGGCCTGAACGACTCGTTCAAAGAACTGGAGTTTCTCAGCATGGCCAACACAGAGCTGACCTCTTTGGCCAAGCTCCCCACGCTGACAAAGCTTCGAAGGGTGAGTGTTTGGTTATGGCAGGTGACCTGCAGTGGCATGTGGCAGTTATACCAGCTTTAATGCCCAAGCAGTCTTTTGTGTAAGAATCTTGTCAATGATAATTAGTAATATATGTCGCCTATTATAGCCACTGTATCACGAAAGCATACATTTGCTTAGGTAATTTTTTATGAGAGAATGTGTACATTTCAAAGTCAACTCCACTGACTGACATGTTTATGCTGTAGCTGGAACTGAGTGACAATCTAATTTCCGGCGGTCTAGAAGTCCTGGCAGAGAGATGTCCAAATCTTACATATCTAAATTTGAGCGGCAACAAAATCAAGGATCTCAGCACTGTTGAAACTCTTGTAAGTATAGAATTGGATGGGGAGGGGTTTTAAAGAGGTCTTAAGATGTACTTGGTCGTCATTACGTAGCGGTCACAGAATCAAGGCCAATGTATTTAAGATACTAAAGAGCCTTGGAAAAATGGAACACCATTGTTTGAATAATGTGTCATAACTGCTGCTGTAGGGGATATGATTGTGACTAAATACCAAATACAGTCCAAACAGTTTAAAAGAGCTCTACCGCAGTCTTTTCTAAGATAGGACCCTCCTGATCTGTTGGATTACGAATTGCACCCTCTTCAACGAGGCAGTCCGACCAATTTGGTCTAAACTGAACCCTGGCAGATCCCAATAAAAAAAGGAACCAGCCACAACTCTGCAGGCATTTGCACATATTTTCCTTTGACATTTCATTTTATAACCGAGAGATTTCCTTGTGATCTAGCTGCTATTTCTGCCTAATACTTGGAATTTAGAATCAGGTTTGGGTTCCATGCTGATGTGTATGCTGTTATGCATATCGGATCTCAGGCAGAATTACTCAACCTAGTCACTGACTAAGAAGCTGTTTTTCATTCTAGCATACAAAGGGAGTTGGCACCAATGTAGAAAACTATAAAGGGCAGTTTCAGTTCTCTTATTGTCTTGGCCCCAAACCCCATAGATAAATATACATAGCATAGTAACTTGGTTTAGCAATTTAATAAATAGCATCTCCGTGTTTTTCCAATTTTTAGCAAAATCTGAAGAACCTGAAAAGCCTTGATCTGTTTAACTGTGAGATCACAAATCTGGAAGATTACAGAGAAAGTGTGTTTGAACTGCTCCACCAAATCACGTATCTAGATGGGTTTGATCAGGATGATAATGAGGCCCCTGATTCAGAAGAGGAAGACGATGATGGTAATTGTTCATTGGAATATTTACTATGAATATTTTCAAGGTACGGTAGGAAATACATACCTGAAATATGAAAAATTGACCAGAGATCAAAATACACTATTCAAAGGGAGCCTGGATAGCTCAACAGACAGAGCTTTGTAATTTAACACCAGCTGTCTGCAATTAAAGTAAGATCGAATCTCGCCAGGCTCAAGGTTGATTCAGACTTCCATCCTTTCTAAGGTAGGTAAATTGAGGACCCAGTTTGTGGGGGCAATAAGCTGACTTTGTATAAATATACAAAAGTATGAAGGCGATTGCTTAACGCATTGTAAGCCGCCCTGAGTCTCCGGAGAAGGGCGGCATATAAATCACTTTTTTTTAAAAAAAAAATTATACATACTTTACATGCTAATAAACGAATGGTTTTCCTAACAAGGGGAAAATAAACTTTGCCTTTGGCAAAATTACATTTCCTATAAATATACATTTTTTAGAAATAGTTTGTTTAGTAGTTGCAGATCTTTTCAGTTTAGTTACACCCCTCTGTGACCTGCAACCTTTCAGAAGAAAGAGGGTACCTGAGCATTTATTTCTGCTATCTCCTACGTTCATTTAGAAGTGGGTTTTTCTACTGTATGCTGAATTTGAACCCCTGGATCGACCCTTAGGTTCTAAGTCAGGATGGATACGGCATGCATTTATTCACTTTTCCTTCAGATGGGGATGAAGATGAGGATGAAGATGAGGACAAAGCTGGTCCCCCAGGAGAATATGAGGAAAACGATGAAGATGATGAAGCTTCAGACTTGGGGGAGGGGGAAGAGGAAGAGGAAGAGGAGGAAGTGGGTCTTTCCTATTTGATGAAAGAAGAGATTCAGGTTATTATATCTTACTGTTCATTTGCAAAGCATTTAACCTTATTAACTAGGCTTCATATTTTAAAGCCCTGTCAGTTTGTGCCAAAGTCCTCTACAGGTTTTCTCCTGCTATAGCATAAGTGGATATTCACTGTATTCAAGCTTTAGAAAAAAAGTCAAATATGCACTTTAATGTGCTATTTTATTTTCCTTAGTTTGGATTTTACACTTTTTCATTCATTTAAATCCACCAGGCTTCATCTTTCACTATATTTCTCAGGAAAATTATCAGGGCTTTTTTTAACTGCACCTAGAAACTGGTATTTCAGTTGAAAGATTACTAATTTCCCACAAACAGAATATGGGCCTGGACTAGTGATAATATATTTTTTAGGCAAAAAGAATGTGACTTTTATAATTTATTAGATGTAATATAGCTCACCCTTGAGCTTAGTATCTGTTTGGCAATCAAATGAGAAATGTATAAGTTGAAATTGTGTAAGTTGAAATTTAAAACCTCCGGTTATGGGGAAGGGTGGTATGGCTATTATATTACCACAATTACAATGCTTTAAGGGGCTGTTTAACTGTAGTTTTGGTTTTCACTCTTATTTACATGGAAAATGTTTATTTACTTTCATAAGTTTAGTTAAATGGACCTTAGTAATTCTGAATTTCTGAAATCATTAACTTGTTTCTCTAAAGGATGAAGAGGATGATGATGATTACGTAGAGGAGCGAGACAATGAGGAAGAAGGTAAGCTTCATATTCAGCCTACATTGACTTTTTAAGTTTTACTTTTCTGGATTCAAAAGTTGCCTTTTCTGATAGTTTTCTCTCAGAACAAAAAGAACTTTTATAAAGTTTGTTAGCTGGGATGAAATTAGTCTTTTCATTTAACTTGTAATAAATTCCTGATTCATTTGAGCTTCTAAACTACTTGTTTAATAATACTTAAATTTAAATGTGTGAGTTACCATTACATGTAATTGTTCAGAAGTGATGAAAATAAGTGTACAACAGCGTGCAGGAGTCACTGCCCATTAATTTTCCTTTGGACATGTGTAAAAATTCTTTCCCACAGACGCCGTTGTCCGGGGGGAGAAGAGAAAACGTGCAGCTGAAGACGAAGGAGATGACGACGATGATTAAGTCGCAGAAAATACAAATAGGACCCGATTCATTTTTGTTGGAATTATGCAATAGTGATATGCAGATTTGTAAGGCTCCATGTATGATAGGTCTCTACAAAAGATATTAATGTGTTTAACTTTTTATAGGAAGTGTTTTACTATGTTTGCCCTTTTTATCATTCCAACTAAGACATAATAATCCATTATTGATCATATTTCCATATGTTTTACTCACTGAAGCAGTTGTCCCTATTTCCTGCCTAGAAACTTTATTCCTCCCATTTTTTTCCTTCTGTTTCCTCATTATGAGCATGCTGTTAACCCTAGCCAGTTACTTCAGATGGTTGAACAGATTTAATTTAAACTTTTAAGAGAGCATGCTCATGTCAAATATACAAGAGTAAGATAACCAACTCTTCACTGGAAAGGACTATATCACAACTGAAATGGGAATTAGGTGATCTGGAAATCACATTTTACCTATCATTTCATTTTAAAAGGATATCTGAATCCTAGTTCATTTGTGTGTGTGGTTAGTCTCTCACTCACTCACTCACACACAAACATTTCTGGTAGATAACTGTAAGGAAGACTGGAATACAGTTCTCTAAAATAGTCTCAATCTCCCATAACAAAATATAAACTGGAAATAATTATAGTTCATTCAAGATTATAACTTCTTCATGATCTTTAGTTTACATGCACATTTCAGAATTCTTTTGTTCTGGTTAAAATGTGGAACAGTCATTCCTCAGTACTAAATTTAAACCAATAGAAGTTATTCTGCATTTTCTTTCTCGCTATATTGCGCTTTCAAGCAATATTGGTAGGTAGTTATACAAGTGGGCTTAGAGCCAAGCTCCTGAAAACCACAAGTTGCTTGCGTTACTGAACAGGGAAGACATTTAGGAAGGCAGCTGTTTAATTCAGGGCATGGCCCCTGAAGCCAACAGAGGGGAGAATGGCTTTACACCTTGAGTCATGGAAAGAAATATACAAAATTGCAAACGATTTGGAGTTCTCTCTGGGATAGGTTTAGTTCGTATTGGTTCTCATTGAGGAAAGTTATTCAACCAGAGTCCTTGATTTCACTGTTAAAAAAATATAGAAATACATTTGCTAAATGTGATCAGCAAGGCAATACTAATCTTTTCTGTGGAAGGTAGACTGGTTATGTTCTTATTCCCTTTTGTGCAGGTTATTTTGAAAACGTAGAAAAAATGAATTCAGATCTCTTTTCTGGTTCTCTGCTTCTGACAGATGAACTTGTATTATTAAATAAATATTTTGCTCAAATACCTAAACGTATTCAAAAATCTGTCAGATTTTAGAGAAGCTGTTTTAGATAAATAGATAATTTCTGCATAGGTGCTTAAATTGCATTGCATTCGCCTGTAATATATTTTACAAACACAGGCATTCTTAGTATAACACATTGCACTCTTTTAGTTTCAGGGACTACCTTTCATAAACGTCAGTAAAATTAAATATGCTCCTCCTCTCCCTCGGAAAAAGAAATAGGGCGACACCGCACAGCTCTTTTTAAGGCGTTTGAAAAGAAAAGTGAAAGGCAACTTAGTAGAAATTAGGGTTAGGGATCTTAAAAAGACTTATTAAACATTAGTCCCAATTTCGCTTCTCTGTAAGAATAATACTTTAAAAACCATAAAAGCTTTCGGGTTTAAAGCCGTGTTGCTGTCTCATAATCGGGGCTTCTTACTCGTTTCATAGACCGGCTTGTCTATTCCCAAAGTGTTGCAGGGTTTCCGAAATCGAACTCTTGTTTTTTGTTTGCTAAAGGGATTCCACTCTCGGGACGGCCTGCGATAATCGTCCCGCCAGTGAAGCGGGGACTCTCTCGGCCTCAGCGGAGAACCGGCCTCGGCCGCCTGGCAGCGGGAAAGCACGAGGCCTTGCTTTGGCGGGAAGGCTGAGCGCTGGAAGGCCCGACCCAAAATGGGGCCGCAAAAGCTCCTCCCCTCAGCGCGCCGGAAGCCGGGCCGACTCGAGCGGAAAAGGCTCGTGGCCGGTGCTGTGGATTGGCCGGCGGTTGTCGCAGTCTCCCAGCGGCCCCGCCCCCGGCCCAATCCCGGCGGGAGACGAGAGGAGCGTGCGGCCGGCGCCCCGCCCCCTCTACACCGCCGGGGAAGGGGAAGCCTCGGTCGGCCCGTTTCATGTCCGCCGCGAGGAGTTCGGGCCGGGGGCGAGGCGCGAGCGGAGCCCTCTTCCTTACCCTCTTTTTGTTTGCCGTCGCCAAGGCGGGAGCCTCTGCCGCTTAAATGAGTCGCGAGTCTTCCTCACCCGGAAACCCCCCCCCCCCCACACACACGCGCGCGCGCCTGAGCGAGACGACCGCGTGGGCCAGCCGCCGCCGCCAGGGGGCAGCAGGCGCCCAGACCTCCCGTCACCGCCCAACAGACGATCCGAAGCTTCCCCGCCCCCCCCCCCCCCCCGGCCCGCAGCTGCGGGGGGAGCGTTGCTCGAGCGGCCCCCCCGCAGAAGGGACCGAACGCCGCGGCGGTTGGCGGGCCCCCCAGCAACTCGGGGGGCGGGGGGGGGGGGGAGGGAGGGAAGCAGGCGGAGAAAACGGATGGTCGAGGCCAGGAGAAGCCAGGCCAGGCGTCTCCTTCGCTTGCCCGCCGAGGCGCTTCCCTAAGCAAGCAAATCAGGCGTCGGCCTGTTTCTTATTTGGATGTCGGTGGTTTTTTTTCCCTCCCAGAAAAGCAGAAGCGCCGATTCTAAAATGGGAAGGAAATAAGGCCGGTTGGGAGGCGACCAAAAACGCCTAGCAGAGAAGAGCCTGCAATTCCCAACTTTCGTGGGAGTGGGTGATGCTTGCTACTGACTGCCCGATCTCTCAGGCTTCATCCCATCTGGGAGCTCAGGCCCACCTGAAATTACATCTTCTGCCCTAAGGATCACTGGATGATATCAATATTGAATTAAAGTAAAAAAAAAAAATTAAGAGCCAAAGACTTCTTTAGAGCTTTTTTCAGTTCCCCTGTGATTTTCTGTATGAAATAGGCACTGGAGTTACCTGGGCATCCGCTTCCTTAAAAAAAAGAAAAGAAACACTTCCAGTTTCTAGGATTTAACCAAACTGAGTAAACTTTCTGGCTAAGCATTAAGTTCATAAGACGGCTTGTGTAATTGTGTAGGCACAAAACTAAAATTAGACATAGCATCAATATTATGCTCCTTGTATGTCCTCTTCCTATTTCTCAGGGAGTGTGGGGAGCGGCATATTGGAACACAACCATGGCTAATCCAAATTGATAATACAAGGTCCAATTATCTAGCTGACCCTTCAGAAGCTGCTATTGCTTGCTACGTTATTCCCCAAAGTCAAAATGTACACCTTTGATTTTGTGTAAATTACACCTGAATATGTAAGCTGATACAGTATAGGAGTTGCTATAGTAATAAAAGTAGGAAATGCAACAAAATAAAGAAATTACGCCTTGTTTGCTGTATATTTAAATTGGCATTTTCAAATTTGGGGGGGAACTCAAATCTTTTTTACCCTCCTGCTTTTGAGATCTCTTGGGGCAAATTTGGAGTGATTTAAGGGGCTTTAGAAAATGGAAGCCCTTTGTGAGTAGCTCTGACCTTGAATAAAGGGTCTCTGGGTTTGGCATCAGTTTGATTTCTTGTCATTTTTGGCCACCATCCTCATTTCACATTCCAGACTTCGTACTGAGGGTCTCCATAAACTGTAAACCACCCTGTGCCTGTTGCCTCCACCCTCCCCAGGTGAGATGCCTCTGCTGCCTTCCCACACATCCCCCTCCCCAAAGAGCAGGCAGGCAAGGGCTTCAGGGCAGCAGCACCCCACAGACACACCCACATCCACACACACCAGGAGTTTGTGAATTCTGAAGCCAGTAAAGGGAGCTTAGAAAAGGTTGAGTAAACAAACACTTCCCCGGTTCCTTATTTTATTGTTCCATAAGTGGTGCTCAATTATTCTTATCCCCACTGAAAAAAGTTAAGGGGAAAACATTGTTCTTATTTGCTTTAGTGACAATGTTTGTCCACCCAAAGGGATAGGTTTCAAAGAAAAGATGTCTTTTCTACATCCCAGTGCTCTCCCCCACCCACACCCACACCCCCAAGTAGCCCTATTTTGTAATTCCCAGGTAAACCCAGATAGGATGGCAACCCAAGTGGCACTGGATTGTAGCAAAAAAAATACGACAGGTGCTGTGTTAGTGTCTCCCTCTTTGCCCCTGGAGAGAAACAGGTACGCAACTCTTGAATGCAAAATTAACTTAAACCCTGGTAGTGTACTGTTGTGCCATTGCAATAATGAAGAGGAGGGACCCAGCGATGAAGGAAAACCTCCCCATCAGAATTTTCATTTTATCACCCAGTGTGTGAATTTGGCTGAAATTACAGTGTCACAGGAAAAACAGACCAGGAATATTTTCAGTTGAGGTGTTAAGGAACATCTGTGTAGCATTGAGTTGAAAATCAAGGCAGGAAAGAGGAGAGTAGACAGAGGAGACCCCAGAGAAGTGGGTGGGGAGCTGATCCCAACCAGAGAAGGGTTGAGGGACTGGTTCTCCCATGGGCATCTCCAGCACCCCCAGGGTCAAAATGTGCCTCCCCCAGGCCACAAGAAGGATGAGTGGTTTTGTTTCCTCCCCCTCTTGAAGGGAGCGGGGGAAGTGTTTTTGGCCAGACTGAGCTAGCCAGCATAAAGACTCCGAGGGAGGCACAGGTGCTGCAGCAAAGCTGCCAGAGGAGACGGACTGCACACAGCAGCCTGTTGAAAGCCGTCTGGCAACCTCCAATTATCTAGGGAGCCCCCCTCCCCCATGCTGATTTCAGAAATCAAAGCTGGCAAGCTGTGGGGGTGGAGTGAAGGGGCCGCTTTAGCTCAGCCTGGCCTTCGCTTTCTTCCACTTGGAAGAGGCCCGATACTCCTGAGTCAAAATGGAAGAGGGCACACAGAAGGGGGGGAAGGCGGGCTGACCCCTTGAACTGCTCTTGCTCCTTCAGCAGCAGGCCCAGGTGGGGAAAAGTAAGAGTGTGTGTGTGTGGCTGAAACAGCCAGACTTTTCTCCTGGCGGCTATAGCATCAGGACAAGGCATAAGGCTCTTCCTGCCTCCCCCCCCCGCCCCCCCAGGAGCCGACTGGCCTCTCTTTGGGTCTCTGGGAAGATGAATGCCCGTCGGGCTGATCAGGCGACTGGAGGGGTTGCACGGGGGGGGGCTCCTCGCTTCCACCTTCCCTTATATGGCTTGAAGCTTGCTGAAGGTAGCTATTGGCTGCTCGCTAGATACCCTTGAAGAGGAAGACCGTTCGAAGGGGGGAACCAGAAGAGAGAAGGAAAGGGAGAAGGGGCCGGTTCTTGAGCGAAGCAACACAGGAGAGCCTCCCAGGCCCAGATGGACAGGAAACCAGAGCAGAGGATTTTAAATGGGACTCTCCCTTTCTGCCCATCAGCTACCTCTGGTTTCTATCGCCATCAGTCCTGCCTTCTGCCTCTGAAGCCCTCTGAAGGGTGGGTGCAGACGGCACTAGCAGAGGCCGCGTGTGCCCACACAAACACCAATCTGTGGGATCCAGCAGAGCCTTCTTTTTCATACCTTTCATCCCAACCTAAACGATTCCTAACCTCAATTTAGACAAAGCCCAGGATGGGCTAAATCACTTCTTTGGGCTCCACAGCCTTCAGGCATATTTTCCCTTCTAAATACAGGCTCTCACTTTTATGGGGTTACTTTGGTGTGGAGTAGCCCCGGGTGTGCGAACCCTGTCATTCGTGGTGTGTTCTTCACAACAGATCATAGCGAAGTCTATTCGATCAATCTCTGATGCGGTTTGCACAAAGGGATTCTCCATACTGAAGTCTCAACCGTTGCACAGGTATTAAGCTTGCAAGTGCCACTCCAGCGGTTCCATGCCCCAAATCAAAGCCAGCTCTGTGACTTGACAAATTTAGGTTGGCTCTTAGCAACTCAGAAATCTATGGGGACTGAACTGATCAGCAAAATCAGAAACTAGTAGCTTTTTTTATTAGGACTGTACCCCGTTTGGACAGAAAAGCACAGGTTGAAAGCCAATTTTAATTTAAAATACACACACATTCATGGATTTTATCAGAACATTTCCACCAGATCAGGTGGATTTCTCCACTTCAAAAATCCTTACCATCCCCTGCCCTACTCTTCTGAAAACAATCCACTGCCTGCGTTCTGAAGAAGAGAAATTAAGAAGAAAAACAGATTTGCTAATATTCAGCTTAATTCTTTGACATTATTTGTGCTGCTGTCCAAACAAATGAAGGCCCCACAGGACACACACACACACCTTCCCTGAGAATTTAAACTAGCCGTAACGTGAAGCTGACAAGACATCTAAAAATACACTGTTTAAAAACATTCAGTGGTTTTATTTTCATCTTTAGCACAGCCTTAAATATCAAACCAGGTAAACAAGAACAGCAGCAAGCTGGAGCAACATGCTGCCCAGACAGCACGTGGGACTTTTTAAAAAAAGATTTCACATAAAAATCAGTGCAGAGTTAGGCTTCCTTGGACGAGGCCGGTGCTGAGAAGAAACCAAGCCGGAACCTAAATGCAAGTATGTCACAAGTGTCAACTCAGGAAATCAAGGGAAGTTTTGACTTTTAGGTAAGTAAAAGAAAGAAAGAAAGAAAAATCCAAAGAGGAGACGCGATAGAGGCTTATACAACTTCACGGATAGCCGAGAGAGAACAACCTTGCTAAAAGTAACAGGCTGAGAGGTTATTCAACAAAACTAATGAATGACCTTTCCATGCAATGCATAATTAGCTCAGGGCACTGACTGGCAGAAAGTTCAGTCACAGCCACTAGCCGGGTGGCATTAAGAAAGGAGCTGGACAAAGGCGGGGCAGCTTCTCACAGCAGCAGCAAAGAATGGAGCTTCCATGTGCCACAACAGAGCTGCGGGGAAGAGACTCGGACCAGAAGGGCCATGCTTGGAGCCAGCGCAAGGGACCCAGAGATGGGTCCCTTGCGCTGGCAGAGGCCGAGCCAAGGGATGAACCTCCAGCCATGGGCTCCTTGGGGGAAGAGGAGGCATCTGTCAGTAGAACTGATGCCCCTGCTCTGCTTAAGAAACCCTGAAACCGGCCCTTAGTTACACACAGATTATCATCCCAATTTCCAGAAGCCAAAGAAAGAAAGTTCTCTGCCAACCTTGTTCATTAATGTCCCCACAGCTTCTGCAGCCCTATAAGAGAGGAAGCTCCCCACAGACACAGAGAGGAGACCCTTGTACATGCAAGCTATGGCGCCCAGGAGGGGGGGGGAAGAGAGAGAGAGAGAGAGAGAGAGAGAGAGAGAGAGGAAAATGATTTCATGAAGCAGTTTGCATAGATTTCTTTAAAAAATAAATTAGCTTCTTAGCATCCACAGAATTTCTGAAACAAATTAAGAAGGGAGGGGAGGGGAAGGGGAAGGAGAAAGGAAGTAGGTGACACTAAAGCGTTTTCTCTTGAATTGTGCTCTCTGCCTCAGTATAAATACAATAGCAAATGCCAAGACACTGATAGACATCAAAGAATTTCACAGTTCTGGGGGTGGAAGCAACATTTAATTATTTGTCCCAATCCAAGAGTGCACGCAGTTTTACGCAGATTGCACAGGTGGGCTTTTGCACGGGGATTGCATATTGGGGGTGGGGCCACTGCACATGCATTGCTGATTTTTGCAGGAGACATATATAGTTGTTGCATCCACCCACAGCCACATAGATCCTCTCTGGGAAAGGGATGGCTCTGCTTTGCCAGCCTTTTCCCCCTTAGGGGACACAAGTTGCTGCCCCCAACTCCCTCACCTCCTCTCACCCCACCACCCCCCATTCAAGGCTTCAAGGGCGGCAGTCTGTTGCTCCCGAGCTGTATGGGAGAGCTGCGGGACTGATTCATCGGGCCTCTTTTCTGGACCCAGAAGCTTATGGCAATACCCAGCCAATAATAGCCAAAGGACATACTGCATAGAGACTCCTCCAAAAATGCAATAATAATAGCTTGGACCCTAGGAGGAACAAAATGTAGCTGGAATCTAGAACTTGTTTTTTCCATATGGTCACATAACAAATCCCCAAGTAAAAGGAAACGAAAGAAAATTACTTACAAGCAGCAACATAATCAAGGTAGCAAATTAGGGCTGCCATAATCCAGACCAGCACAAGATGGCAGCAAGAAGCTAATTTCCCATCTCTCTCTGCTGCCATCTAGCAGTTTCCAGATACTTGCACTTCAGGTTGGTCTTCCCCAGAAATGAAGCCTGAGGCTTTGAGAATAGATGCACAAAATCCATTCAAGCCTAGCCCTGAATTCTCTGAAACTGTGTGAGGGTGTGCGCAAAGAAAAGAAGTGTCTCACTCCGTACTGAGGTTAGCTAATCTATGTGTGGGAGGAAAAACCCCTGAGGAGGAGAGGGGAAGCCAAACCTTTTTAAAAGGGAGCCATTTCCAAGTCAGCTCAGACCTGGAGAAAAGAACCAAAAGCTGTTTCTAGAGTAAACCCTGTCCTGGCTTTCAGGCACGCAGCTAAAAGGAACTGAAGCGTCCCCCGCACTCTCCCTCTTTCCAGAGCACCAGGGCCCCCCTGGATCCAACCTCCTGGCTCAGAGCAACAACAGCTGTCGCCAAGGGGAAGCTGCAAGGGAGCAAGGCCTGTTCTCACCTGGCGCATCGGAAGGGGAGCTTCTACCCTGAACGGGGAGCGCTCAGCACAAAGTCTCACCTGGTTACGAGCAGCAGATAAAATGCCCTGGAAATTCAAAATGGTGAAGTGGGTCAACCCTATGTATCTGAAGGGAACGGAATATGCCGAGTGCCCTATAACACAAATACACATCAACTGTGGTGTCCATATGCAGTCCTTCAAAAAAAAAAAAAAATCCTTCAGGACCCAGGACCCAGCCTTCAATAACAGTCCTTCAAGAAAACCTACAGGCAGCCCTTGGCGTTATTTACTTTGGAACAATGGAAACACACTCTAAAATAAATATTGCTATAATACCAACTTCCATCTCTAACATGCCAAAAACATTATCCCACACGCTGCAGCACAGAACAGTTGCTTGCACCCATGTGAAATACCGCCTTACAGAGATGTGTTAAATTCCTTGCAACCTCCTAATTAGTGCTTCTTCTTTTATCACTGTCATTTTTATGCATTTGCATGCTCTGTTCCCTGATGAATAATATTTCACTCCTGTATCACTTATAAGCTTATAGTCTGAACTATGTATTTGTTAATGGCTGAATGGACTATTGTCTTTTAGCTTTTTAAGCCACTTAGATTTGCTTGACTGAAGCAGCATAAAAGCAGATGGAATCAGTCAAATCAATCAATTCTAAGCAAAAGTTCCTATAGGGATTCACCCAGCACTTCAATTGCTCTTCCCTCTCATCTCCTGAAAAATGTGGACATGCAGTTAGTGAGCCCTTCACCATTTCTTTGTACATGGTAATGGTTCCGCTTCTTTCAGGAAAAAATGCTGTAAGGATCACTTCCATTGGTTTTGTTATGGTTATTTGTGGTCTCAACCCTTACCCAGCGGGCAAGGGGAAACTTCTCTTTAGTGGGGCTAATTATTTATTTCCATATTTCTCTATTGCCCTAAACCTAACCAGTTTACAAGTTTCTTGTCCCTTTTTAATTCTATTGAGCTGCATGCTAATCTTGACTTGGTGCACTTGCCTTTTACCTGTTACAGAATCAGGATGTGAATCTGACTTCTGAATGTGGTTACTCCCTAAGGAAACTCAGGGGGATGTAAAACGAACACAAAGGTAACTTCCACCCTAAAAGGCTGTTGTAAGTTTGGAAAAAGGAAGAGAAGGACGAATACATTTTTCAATTTCCCTTAAAAAGGGGAAAGGAGGGCACCTGAGGCCAATTGGAAAGTCCTGTTGTGGGGCAGAGGTAACAAAAAGAAGCATCCATTTCCAATCCTCTTTCTCGAGGGATGATTCTGGAAGACTCACATGGGCATCACTCTCTCTGTCTTAAGCCTGAGCAGAAAGTGCCACCCGTGGAAACACCAAGAATGGGAGGACTCTTCTTCGCCTGTTCCACCAGTCGGGGAGCCAAGTAGTTTTGCTTAGCAGAGCGGGGATCATCTGCCAGGACATGAAGGTACCTGAGTTGCAACCTGTGCCGAGTCTTCACTTCCCGACTCTCGGCTGAATCAGCACGAGGAGGACAGAGGCCATAGAGAGGGGATCACAAGGGGAACTTCTACCGTCTCAAGCAGTGAGCGATGACCACAGAAGGGTGAGCGGGGGGGGGGGCGGGGGTTGACTCTCTCAAGGGGAAGCACTTTCTACTGTGAGATCTTGCTGGCTGGACAAATCCTATGGACCTCAATCCTCCTCTCTGTAGTTCTCTGAACACAGGAAGAGCAGGAGGCACGAGTGAACCGATGGCTCTGACTTTAACCAGAGAGCCCTTTCAACCACCAATAAATTCTCCACAGGCGAGCAGTTTTGCAAGTAAACAGAGAGTAATGGCCAGATTCAGCAGATGCTTCCTCTTGAGATCCTCCTGTCCAACACAGTGTCTGCTGTGCTTCAGTATCAGTGATGGAAAAAGGAAACGAAAGAGGACTGGGCTTACTGGTCAATGGGGCCGATGGGGCAAGGCGGTGGCTGGTGGAGTATACAGAACACCGGAGCCATCTCTTCTGATGCCACAGAAGACATGCTCCTGTCACCAAAACAGAAATGAGACTCAGCTCAAGGGGACGAGATGCCCTCTGAACTTTCACACAGGCAGCAGAGTGTGCGGGGCCAGTCCTGAGCTAAAGAAATCAAGGACCTCTCCCAAAGGAGCAATGGATTGGCATGGGTGGCCATGGAATGCTACTGGCTACTCTTCTCCTATTGCACTGAAAAGATAAGATGCACACCCCTGAAGATGACCTGGTGTCACACGTTCTGCCGACAAGCAAAACCGCACGATGCTTGCCACACTTTCTGTTGCTGCTCATGAGCTACGTCTGAAGGCCAGGAGGGCCGAGGAAAGCGACAGGGGGAGAGGGAGCAAAATCACATGGAATAAGGACATGGAAGACCTACCAAGGACTTCAGGGGAACCAGGTTATGAGGTACCTAAACTTTAAGCCCATGGACCAGAACTGCCTGGGATTCCCCGGTTCCACTCAAGGACCTCAGTCTGGAGCTCAGCAAAACTGGGTCACCCGGTTTTTGGTCGCGGGGGCTTCTGGGACTGCATCGTGTTTGGAAAATAGTCTCCTGCATTATTTCAGGTGGCAAAGTTGCCTTTGCACCGGAATCTGGACTTGGACCCAAGCAGGGAAATAGCCCCTCCGAATGGCAGAGCAGCCACAGAGGATCCAGGGGGGCACAGGAGGGACCCTGCCCGGGAGGCCACGTCCGCCTGGCGCCTGAGGTGCAACCCATGTCTCCTAGCATTTGGGAGGGTGGCGCACCCAAGGGGCATTTTTGCGGAAGGAAACCAGAGATCTTTCTTGAAAAGGGATTCACTGAGAAAACCATGGGGGCCAAAACAGAACCATGCTGCTTCTGAAAAATTACATTCCAATGGCTGCCTCTAAGTTGCTGCACTTTGGGGGCTACAGACACAATGGATATATTGAAATGGGCTGCCTTGAAGTTGGAAGAGAGGAACGGGCGACATATAAATGTGGGGGAAGTGAGGAAAAAACTGAGTTGGTGAGGAGTAAGGGTCGAGGAACAGCCGGAACCCAGTAAGCATGAAATGCTATAAATTCCAACAGCACATCCGCTCCCCAACTTCTGTGCCCTGTTTTCCCTTGAGATTGGCCCACTGCTTGCCTTCACATCAGGCTCCTCCTGTACTGAGGCAGCAGCAGACTCTGTGGGGGCGCAGGTCTCGAGAGCCGCAGCTGTTGATAGAGGCTCCTCAGTTCTCGCACCTCCTGCAGCACTTTCTGGGCTTGGCTCCAGCTGGAGGAGGCCTCGCCCAGCAGCCTCTGGATCTCCTGCAAGGTGGCCGCTGAGTCCAGTTTGGGTGAGGACGGGGCACAGGCGGGGGCAGCAGCCAAGGCGAAGCCAAACTCCTGTGCCTTTCGCACCTCTCCCCCATAGCCTCTCGCTTCTGTCAGCAGGCCCTGCGTCTTCTCCAGCTGCAATGCCACCAGCTCCTGTATCCTGGCCAGCTGCTCAGGCTCAGGGGAAGCCGTTCGGTCCTTGAGGCTGATCCTCAGCGACGCCTGGCTGGCTGAGGAGGAGTCCCAGCAGGAGAGGATTTCTTCCATAGAGGCACATTTGTTCTTCTCCAAGTGAGAGAGCTTCTTGGGGACCTGAGGGGTGTACATGGTCCCTTTGCCAAAGGCCTCCCTGTGAACTGAGAACTTCTCCCCAGACATGTTCTTCCTCCGCGGGAGGCTGTTTGTCTTCTCCGAGTCCTTGACCTTCTCTGAATCTGAGCGCCTTCGGCCAGGGGAGAAATGGGTGACTGATTTGTCCAGGTCCACCCGGAAACTCTTCTCACAGGTGTCGTGATCTTCTGGGGAGGCCTCTTCCTCCTGGATCAAGTCCAGGGTCAGCATCCCATCAGAGGTTGAGGTAGATGCCTGCAAAGGCAGGAGAAAGGCAAGGGAAAATGGGGGGGGGGGGGAGAGCGTGTGTGAAAACCCGACTCTCCAGGAAGGGCGGAAAGAATCACGGAAAAGGGATTTTGATACAAAACTATATCTTGGTGTTAAGTTTCCATATTCTGTGGCCGTTACAGTCTGTACAGCTCCAGCAAGGTGTGGCTGTATAGCTGAGTTGTAATGGTGGACGTCGAGTGGGCAGAAGCGGGCATAGCTTCCTGGGACCGTCCGGCCTTTGGTGACTCAAAGGGCATCATGATAAGTCGTCTGTCCCGTCCCCCCCGAACCCCTCTTCCTCTCCTCTCGGGGGGGGGCGGGGAGCAGACACGCTTGCAGCTATCAGAAGGGGAAGCAGCAGCAGCTCGGCTGGCTGAATGGGATTCTGCTCCCTTCCTCCTCCTGCACTTACCACAGCCATCAAGTGGCCTCTGGTCGGAGGCCGCCTGGAGTGCTGGATCTTCGCTCTGTTACGAGTGGGATGGGCGAGAAAACTCTCCTCCTCCACTGTCACCTGAAAAGCAACAGAAACACCCATCAACCACCACAATGCGAGGCACACAACGGGCCTAGTGTGACTAAACTGGAGTTTACTTGATAAATTGTGTGAATGGTTTAACTCCCAGGAGAGATGATTTTCCCCACCCATCCACCCATCTCTACATCCAATAGTTCAGACTGCAGCTCTCTGGCATATTCCTCCCAATCAGCCAACATTTCTTTGGGAAGGGAGGAGAGGGCCCAGACTCAAAGAAAGAGCATTTCATTTGGTAGTTTGCTGAGTTCCCGACGTGGCAAGAAGAAAAATTAAAAGAATTTGCATCTCGAAACCATATTCTCCCCCATCTACTTTATCCTCTTTTAAGCCATCCCTGCAAGCTACCGGGGGGGGGGGCAGCCCTTCCCTCCCCATTCAGGCCAGGGGTCCTGCCTGTCTACCTTGCCCCCCACCCCACGTCCACCCCCGCCATCCCTCCCTCTTTGGCTTTGAGACTGCAAAGAATCAGGGGATGTGTTCCCAAGCCAGCAACAGGTGTGGTTTTGTTATTTTCCACTCGTGTCTCTTTCATTTGAACCCACAAGAGAAACAGTCAGGAGGGAACATTGCTTCCCTCTCTGCTTTGAACAACCCTTAAAATGATCTCTCTCACCTTACAGATCTTTCTCTGTTTTAATGGAAAATCAGCTACCCCTTCTATTCTTCTGCCCGTCCTCTACAGACCATTAGACAGTCCCGGTGACCCCTTTTCTAAATTTAAACAAAAAGAAATCTACTCCATTGCTCTCTGTTGTTCCCTCCCCCTTTATTTTCTCTGCCCCCAGTTCTACTTTAGATAGAAAACCATTCGGCCATTCACAGATCCGAATGGGGCACTAGCACAACTTCCTAATAATAACTCTCTGCAAGAACATCCCTGCGCCTCTCTTCTCGGACTGCAAACCTGGACATAAGATTATTGCCAGGATTAAAAGAAAGGGAAAATCTCTGCCACTCTCTGGGGTTTTTTTTTCTTTTTCTTTACAGAAGAGAGAGATCCAGAATGAACTAAAAAGTTACTGATGTTCCTAGCCATGTAAGATAGATCACGACAAGCAGGAAGGTCGACTTGGTCAGATCTTCTGCCACTTTTAACCTGGACCCTTGAGAACAGAGACCCCACTGCCAGGCCCCCTTTCAAGAAATGAGGCCCAAAGCAAGCCTGGCCTTTGCACTGTCTGGAACCCCCAAAGAACTGGGCTGAAGAAAAACCAACCAGGATGAGCTGCACCTGTCACAAACAATCCCCACCATTGCAAGCAAACAAAAGGGTTGGGGTCTCTCTCTTGCACAGCTTTGAGCTTCTCCTACCCTGCCCCAGACGGGGACTTTGGAAAGGCCAGTGGGTCAGGACAGACCGACGCTAGAGCCAGGCTGCTCACCTCATCCAAGATGCGGTTTTTGGCCCGGATTATGGCAGAGTTGAGCACATTGATCCAAGACTCCTTTTCTTCGGGGCTCACGGCCAGGAAGACGAGATTGGGTGCCTGAGAGAGATGGAGGCATCATCGGCAACCAAAGAGAGGCTTACCTGTCTCGCTTGGCCCCGTCCTTCATAAACTCGGTCCAAGACACATTTGCAGCTTTGGATTGAAGGAGGAAACAATGGCCTCCTCTCCACTGCTGTCTTACCATAGCCTGCAACCGCTTCCCCCAGCGATCCCCAGGGGCGTTGGGACTGCAGGGCCCGAGGGCAACGGGAGCATGCCAGCCCCAAGGCATCTGCCACTTTGTATGAGATAGGCGGCCACATCAATATTATGCACACATAAATAAAACAAAATAGATCTGGGGCACCAGAGAAGAAGGCTGCTCTAAGCAGGGACCTGGGGGCCTGCAAGACCCAGCAAAAAGAACGCGGGGCCTACTCCTCAGAAGACCAGGAGTTGGAGAGGATGGAAACCCCTAGGCCACCGACGGTTGAAGGGGGCTGGGGGGTTGCCCTGTTCCTGGAGAGGAAGCTGAGACGGGTTAGCCGCAAGGCCAATGGTTGTGTAGTGAGATCAAGGGGAGCCAGCCGCCTTTTCTGCAGGGTCTCCAGGGCTTGGAAGGACAGAGAGAGGCTTCCCAGCCTGGCCACCTACCCATCCCCAAAACCAAGGCAGAACTCTTAGTACCTCAAGCAGGGGCTTGAATGCTCAATCAGAAGGCAGGCAAGCAGGCAGGGAGGGGGGGGCGCTTACTGTGTTGCCAGGCTCCTTGGAGTGGGCAAGGGAGAACTTGCTATAGTTTTTTTTGCTTCTGCTTTTGGACTTCCTGAGCTCCTCACACTTCTCGTAATCGTTCAAGTCAAACACCTCCTGGGTGTTTTTCTCATCTCGGAGCTGCAGATAGACAGATCACAGGTTTACAAGGACAGACATTGCCAAGGATGTCGAGATTAAGGATTCTTTCACTCATTCACTGTTATCAAAAGCACATGGAGAATTCTAGTTCTTAACACAGGCATGAAAATGAACCCCTCGTGTTTGGACAGCCCTTCCATAGCCACAGACCACCAGGAGTTTTTTTCTTGGCTGGGACAAGGGCGCAGACACTACCTGGTTAGCAACAAAATTCTACACGGGGGGGGGGGGGGGGGGGGGAGGAACGTAATTTCTCAGAACACTAATTAACCTAGGAAGGATAAATGGGCAGGAAATCTGAGCTGCCTGCCTAGTAATGGGGTTCGAGCTGGTATCAAGTTTGCATTAGCTAAAACTTTAAAGGAGAACAGTTTTAAGTCACGCGGGCTGCACCACAGACAGCACCACTATGCTGCCTCTTCCTGGGCAAGAATGAAGGAGAGGACACTTCTTCCGAGAGGGATTATAATTAGTACTGGCATTAAAAACAATGAGCATTTTTCCCTTGTGTTTTTCAGAGTAAAAGCAAAAATTAAAATGTCTACTCTAAGGAAGCTCCCGTTCTGGCTCCCAATATGCTGCACAAAACTCCCTCCACAACCCTGCACAGGGCACCCACCAGGGGGATGAGAGGGTCACTCCAGGCTGCACAGAGACCAGCAGGAGCTCAGTTGCCTCCTCCTCCTCTCCCCCCCAGTTAGCCCCTTTCCAGCTGATTGTCGGCTGGTCGGCCGGCCTGCTATCCGATGACTTGCAACCAGAGCTCATCCCCTGCCTGCATGGCTAATGCCGCCTTCCTTTTCCTATCAGCCAAGCCCTTGTTTGGGTTCAGGGTAATCAAATGCTGGAGTGTCTCTTTTGTGAAAGCTAAGCAATTCCTTTGGCCTCGACCCCAGCCCAGGAGGAGTTTAGGCACGGCTTGCCTGGATATTATGAGTATGCTAAAATAACAGGTAACAAATTATGTAAGTGAATGATATTAGCTCATCGCTGTCCCACAAGGCCGCTCAGCCTCACTTCCGCCTCCATTGTCTGCGCAGCCCAGGGCGCTTACATCAAAACGGGAAGGGGGGGGCAGCAGAGGCCTGTCCATTCCCTTAAATGTGTGAAGTGGAACAAATGGAAACTGAGGAAAACAGCAACTAATTTCTGGACCTGGGTATATCCGATGCCAGGAAGGACAGGTGAGAAAAGCTGATAACAAATCGCCTTGGCTTCCTCCTCATCCAGAATTAGAATCAATGTGAAACTTGTAAGAGATGTTTGAGCACCAGAAGTTTGTATTAGAAAGCGACTATGGCAAAGAACAAATAGCAACACAAACCTAACATCGGAGAACAAGTTTTTAAGCAACAGATATTCACACCTCCAGGGACACTCATTTTAATAAGAGCCGGTGGAAAAATAATTTGCATGTCAACATGTACTTTGCCCCAAAGCCACTAAAACAGAGAAATCCTAAAAACAAAATATGCAAAATTCACCTCAGGCTTTCCAAATGCCAGAAAAGGGAGACGTGAAGACAAGAGGCCCATCCCTTTTGGTCAACTGCCATGGAAAACCCTCCCAACCTTTCAGGGAAGAAGATAAGGACAGGGACCAGGCTGTTCCTCTGGCAGCTGAGACGGGCGACCGGCCTTGCTCAAAGATCTTGCTCAAGTTCATTTCAGGAGAGCTTGCTGAGGGATCCGGGATTCTTGGCCAAAGCCCAGCCAAGTCTGCAACCTGTAAAGGCTCGGCTGCTTCCGCAAGGGGCCACAGGATCCTGACTCTGCTTGCAGCAGCCCGGCCACAGAGTTGGCCACCAAAACAACCCCCTGCCCCCAAACAGTGTCCAAACCCTACACGGCATCCGTGTGCCAGGACAGGGATTGCCTCCCAGATGCTGAGTTCAGACAACGTTTGGACTCCACAGAGGAGGAGGAGGAGGAGGAGGAGGAGGAGGAGGAGGAGGAGGAGGAAGCAACTGACCGGCTGGGGGAGCTCAATCCAAGCCCTTCCTCCTGTCTGTAGGACTGGCTCCACCAACAGCCCCTTAGAATGTGGGCCTCCTGGGGCTGAGGGGACATCACAAAAAGCCTTCCATTGCTGGGACTGTCATCCCTCCCTCCCTGACCACCACCATCCCCCTTCTCACAATGTCTTCTTGCAGGCTCCAGCCTGGGCCACAAGTCCTGAGCCCCAGGGATGAGCTCCTGGCAAATTCTGGCCAGGTGAGGGTCAAAGGAGCATTTCACCAATGAATTTGCCATCAGGCTTTGAGAGGCAATGAAAAGGCAGCCCCTCCCGCAGGAAAGTGAAGCCCAGCTGAGGGTCTCTCATCCCTCTCTTCCATCTCAACTTCCTCTTTCATCAACCAACTACTGAATGAGTAGAATCTGAGTGAGAGAATCATATAATTCAGCCCCCTCCCCCCCAATGCAAGGTGGGGGAAGGAAAGGAAAGGAAAGGCTCGGCTAAAGAATCCGGATGTGAGCAACCTCTTACCAACCTCCTTCTCCGAGATGTAAAGTTGGTCACCCTTCAGCACCACAAACCGATTTTTCCAAATCTCCCGAAAAATGCCTTTCCCACAGAATTTTCGGACCCAGCCCACCTTCTCAGGCTGCAGCGGTTGCTGGTTCCCCTCCTGGAACCCCTGCATTCCAAAAAGAAAGAGAGCAAAGGATGGGGGGAGGGGGGGTGAGAGGGGGGACAAACGGGAGAGGAGAAAGGCAGAGAGAAGCTGTTAAGAGGAGGCGGGGTCTCCGGCCTGCCCCTCTGCCAGCACCCTTCCCCTGGCCCAGAAAGCTCTCCCGTCCCCAGCTGGCCCTTCCCCAAGTACCTGGGACGCTGGCAACTGCACCCGCAGATCAGCCTGACAAAGTCCCTTGTTTTTTAAAAAAAAAAACACTACCACAATTACAAATGAGACAAAATGATGTAAGGCAAATAAATAAATAGAATCAAAATGATGCTGCCACCTGCTTTCTATGAGGAAGTAGGCTGGAATCAATCTGCTCTTGGCCCAATCAGCATTTAATAATTGCGACGATGGAGCCCTTCTCTCTCAGAAATTCAGACTAAAACCATATCTATGTTTCACAAGGCAAATGTTTTCTAATTTCACTCTCTCTACATTTCTAATCACACTCTCTTCATCTAGGGAAGTAAAAAGGAAATCCACACAAATGCACAGAGACACATTTCTAAATTAATGGAAACAGAGCTTTAATAATGGAGAGTCGGAGACCCTCCGTTTCGGGATGGCTTCATTTGAAAGGCTGGAGGATCAGAAAGCAAAGACAAGCGGATTTTGGGATGGGGGGGAACGAAGGGATGGCAGGAAAGTTGGAATAAGACTGGCTCACCCTAAGGGCCCCCATCGCCCACAGACCCAAGAGAGAAAGTGGACAATAACAACGCCAGGAAAAGGCCCGGGGGGGGGGGAAGGGGGCTACCCAGAAAGCAGAAAAGACTCACCCGTTTAGCCGAATTAGTTTTTTTCATCATTCCTCAATGCAGCTGTCCAGAAGAGGGAAAGGGAAGGGGGAGAGAGGGTATGCTGGGAAGAGGGGGGGCAGGAAAAAAATCAGAGCGGGTCTTTGCCAGCAGAGAACTGAAGATCGTGTGCAGTTATTGGGAAGAGGGAGAAAAATAAATCTCACCCTCCTTAAGGAAAGCACAAGGAAGTTCCTATGACCTGGAGGCAGAATTTGCCCCTGCGATGCCCACACATCTCTGCAGGCAGAGGGACCCCCAGAAACCCCCTCCCCTGCTCCTCCTGCTTTCCTTCCTCCTCCTCCTGCTTTCTCTCGCCTGGGCATGGACGGAAAGGGTTCTCTTGGGCTCCACAGCACCATCTATAGCCAGACAAGCCGTGACGTTTTCACAAGGAAAGAGGCGAATGAAGCTGGGAGGGAGGGAAGGAAGGCGGGAGGGAGGGAGGAAAAGAGAGACCCTTTCTTCTTTGTTTGAGTCAGTTGGCTGGGAAGCGAGGAGAGGTCAGGGGGGAACGAAGCAGGGCCAGAAAGTCCCAAGGAGCGGGAGGGCCCCAGAGGCAGAGGCAGGCAAAGCAGCACGGATACCCTCTTTTGCATAGTCCTTCCTGAAACAAGGTTACGCTCACCCGGCGACCTGGCACGGCCCCCAGGGGAAGACCGAGGTGGTCCTGCCAAGAGAAATACCTCCATTTGGTGACCTTGCTCAGGAGCAAAAACAGCACCCCAGTTGCGGCATCCAACCCAAGTCTTCAGCAGGCTACAGGATCAATAAAGTGACAAAGGAGAAGAGAGAATGAAGCAGCGTACAAAGGACACTGGGACTCCAGCAGGCCTTGGAGAAGATGGCAGCCCGCTGCTCCCAACATGGTGCCAAAGACACCGGGAGCAAAAGAGACAGGCAGGCAGCCACTCGGGGGGCTTCAGGAGTGCTGAGCCAAGTGCCGGGTGCTTCGGAGTGGAGAGCTTGGGGGAAATCAATCATGTAAAGCAAGAGAAGATCCTGCACGCAGGGCTGGCTCTTTGCCTGACACACAGGAGCCGGGTGCAGGGTCACCTTGACATGCAGAAGTTCACACCTTTCTAGAGCTGCCCACGCAGATGGGCACGGACCCCCATGCACGCACCCACCATAGCAGAGACGTGCGCCCCACGGTACCCCCCACTGAGCACCCTCTCTCAAAGCAAGGCATATCGGACCCACTTCTGACTTAGCATGATTTGCCAAAATGGCAATGGACTCTCTCTGTTCCATGTCTGCTACCAACTTGCCAATATGCCGGCCTTTCCCACTGTGGCTGACTTATTTTAGCCCTCCATGGGTGTATCTTGCCTGCCGATGCACAGGCCGATAGCCCACGGAGCCTGCTGACCTCCCCTGGCCGGATGCAGCTTTGGGGAAGGAGATACACACACACACACACACACACACAGCCGACCCTCCTGCTTAGCAGCTGATCTCCAGTTAAGAGTAGCAGGCACTGTCACAAGAGGCAGGCCCACAGAGCCAGCTCACATGGTGGTTAAAGCATCAGGCTAGAAAATAGAGACACTGAGTTCCAGTCCCACTTTAGGTAAGACGCCAGCTGGGTGCCTTTGGGCCAGTCATTCTCTCTGTCCCAGGAAGGAGGCAATGGCAAACTGCTTCTAAAATCTTGCCCAGAAAACTGCAGGGACCTGTCCAGCAGCCGCCAGGTGTCCACACTGACTTCAAGGCTGGTACACACACACAAACCTTGCCGTAACCCACCTGCTCTCCAAACTTTAGACATCGCCGCCTTGTTTTCAACCCATAAATGACTTCCTGCCTTGCTTTGAGAACGACCAGCACTAGCACTAAAGCTACAGCAAAAGCAAACGAAGTGTGTGGCAGCAGCTCACACTCAACAACAGGACGGAAAAAGAAATGGGGGGGAGGGTTAACCCAAATTTGCTTGCACCCAGTTACATCAAGGGTGCTGAAGCCAGAGGAATGGCAGTCGGGGGGACAGACAAGTGACCTTGAGAAAAAAAAGGCAAGAGCCGGCACAGAACAGAGACAAGGGCAGGCAATCCCCTCCTGGTGGTTTTTATGCTGGAACAGCCACATCATCTAGCAATAATTATGCTGATTCTCCAACAGTTCATCGGCTCCCAAAATGCCTTTTGCGTATCTGAGCCAGAGGGCCAGCACACTCTGGCAGGCCTGGAGGAATGCAGGCTGCTTGCCGCTTTTCCCCACATTCACATCCTCTCTCTCTCTCTCTCTCTCACACACACACACACAGAGAGACACAGACACACAGTCACAGATCTAGAGAAAGCAAGAGATGGTGTCACTTCCAAATGAAAAGATTCCATCACCCTCTAACGCCTTGTTATGCCACTCTCAGCCAAAGTGGAACACGGAGGGGAAACTGAGGTCAGGGAAAACTAGGTCTGATTCAGAGCAAGATGGCAACCATCTTTACTTATTTTGATGAGAAACGCAGGGAAGCCTTGGGTGAGGTGCTTGGGGAGCCCGTGGTTGGGGAGCTGCTAGGTGTCCATGAGCTCCAGACTCCAGGCGCACCAGCTATTTACTGTCCTGCGCCCCTCCCAGAGTCCTGGCGTAGACACAGCAGCCGCTGTTGGGCCTTTTCGCCTACCAGGGTTTGAGCTGCAGAGCTCCTGGGAGGTGGGTAGGGTGCAGAGGTGGGTTTCAGCAGGTTCTGACCAGTTCTGGAGAACTGGTAGCGGATATTTTGAGTAGTTCGGAGAACCGGTAGTAAAAATTCTGACTGGCCCCGCCCCCATCAATTCTCTGCCTCCCAAGTCCCAGCTGATAGGGAGGAAATGGGAATTTTGCAGTAAGTCAAGCCACGCCCACCAAGCCACACCCAGAGAACCGGTAGTACAAATTTTTGAAATCCACCACTGGTAGGGTGACAACTGCAGAGGTTCACATCCATCCTGGAAGAAGCTCCCCCTGAGCAGGTGCTCCATGGCTTAAGTCCTTGTGGCCAGCCGTTATTATAGGGAAGGAAGAAGAGGCAGAGCAGGATTGCCTGCAGGCGGAAGGTGCCCAAAGGAAAGTTCTATGGTCCTGTTGCTAATCCTATGGCTAACAAGGGGGCTGCCATTAGGACCACCACCCCCATCGTTAAATAGGCAAAGGCTTCAGGGGACTGTCAGTTGAAAGGACGGTGCCTCCCTCATCTCCACTGGCAGCCCAGTCCTGAGCAGGCAGAAAGTGCCCCATGGAATACGGGCTGGCCGTGGCGTTTCTCTCTCTGTCAGGAGAAAAGACGGGAGGCTGAATGCTCAGTCATGTGACCAAAATAAGGGGCTTATTTATTTATTTAAATGATTCTTAAGCAACTCAATTCTGGGCAGCTTACAACAGGAATAAAAAACAATACAGGCAGTCTGTGACTTGCAACCATTCATTTAGCGACCGCTCAAAGTTACCTGGCACTGAAAAAAGGGACTGTTTTTCATACTTATAACCGTTGTAGCAACCCCCCCCTGGTCATGTGATCAAAATCCAGATGCTTGGCAACCGACTCATATTTATGACGGTAGCAGCCTTTGGCGACCTTCTGACAAGCAGAGTCAACCGGAAGCCGGATTCATTTAACAACCATGTTAGTAACTTAAGAACTGCAGTGATTCACTTAACAATTATGGCAAGAAAGGTTGTAAAATGGTGCACAACTCACTTAACAACTGTCTTGCCTAGCAAACAGAAATGTTGGGCTCAATTGTGGCCTTAAGTCGAGGACTACCTGTAAAAGTCCCAAAGCAAAAAGCCTCTTTGTTGCCTCAGCTGTTCCGGCCGGGGGGGGGTGGGGTGGGCGTGGGACAGAGGTGGGTTTTAGCAGGTTCTGACCACGTCTGGAGAGCCGGTAGCGGAAATTTTGAATTCAGAGAACCGGTAAATACCACCTCTGACTGCCTCCCGAGTCCCACCTGATCGGGAGGAAATGGGGATTTTGCAGTAACCTTCCCCTGCCATGCCCACCAAGCCAAACCCACAGAACTGGTAGTAAAAATTGTTGAAATCCACCACTGGCGTGGGAGCGCTGCCTCTTGACCCTTTGCCAGATCTACTTCCCACAGTCCACGGGGGCTGCTGTGGACACAGAGGCTGTGAGGCCAGGGACCCACGCGTAACGGAAGTTTCCAGAAACAAGGGTTCTTGTTTTCTTGAAAACAAGAAGAAAAAAAAGAGAGAGAGGGAATTGCAGTCTGCTTAATTGGGTCTAACTATTAACAGTCAAAATTCCAGTTCTGATTATAGCTAATTAAAAAAGATGAAATGTTGGATCAGAAAGAGAACCTAACCTGCTCACATTGTGAGTTTTGTGCTCCCTGCTGAGAGCTGGCAGGCTGAGCCCACAAGAGGAAGAGGAGGAGGAGAGCCATGGGCTTCCTTGGGGTTGAGTGATTTCCTTCCCACCGTCTTGTCTTCCTGCAGCAAACATCCCAGGGCAACTCCTATGGAAACCCTCCCAGGAAAATCTGGACTTAACCACACATGGGCCATTGATGGCTTCTCCTTCTCCAGTCTATTAACCTCAGGAGACGGTTGTTTTATCCCCTACGCTCTCATACTCAATGACAAAGGGTTAACAAGAACTCTGGTCAAGACTTTGGTCCCTGGAGTGGGACCCCCACACCCCTCACCACTGGCTGTCCTGGAAATTCCAGTCCAAGGAGAACAGAAGGACCAACTCACTCCCCTACACAGCCTGAACCGCCAGGCCAACTCAGGGCCAAATACTGGAAGGCTTAAAAACCCTCCAATGCACCCTGCTGGTGCCAGAGGTAATACAAGGCTTCCAATTACCCCCCACATGCACATCCAAAACTTAAAGAGCAAGGAAATCAGAAGCCCCCCAACTGGAGCAAGTCTGAAATACAAATAATTGTCTAAAAAATTCAGCCCTGCATCTGAGAGGGTGCCAAGAATATTCTGGGCCCTCTTGCAGTCCACAGCAAGCTCCACTGTGTTCCTAAGCAGGCCGAATGAGGCCATGGGGCAGAAGAGCTGCGAACTGCCCCCATCCCCAATGTCTTCAGGAGGCCTCAAAGTTGTCTTCCACAAGCAACCCCATTCTCTGGCCGGCCAGCCTGCAGCACTTCTAGAGATATTCACTCATTTTGAATAAGAAACCCAGATGGTCTCTGCCAGAGTGTCCTTTTATTGGAGTTCAGACAGGGGACCCAGAGGCTCACTTAGTAGCCCCCAGCCCAGGAGGCAGACAACAAGCTGAGAACTGACCATGAAAAGGAGATACACCCAAGAGACAGCAAGGGAGGAAGGGAGGGAGGGAGGGAGGGAGGGAGGGAGGGAGGGAGGGAGAGAGAGAGAGAGAGAGAGAGAGAGAGGGAGAGAGGGAAAGAAAGAAAGAAAAAAAGAAAGAAAGAAAGAAAGAAAGAAAGAAAGAGAAAAGAAAAGAAAAGAAAAGAAAAGAAAAGAAAAGAAAAGAAAAGAAAAGAAAAGAAAAGAAAAGAAAAGAAAAGAAAAGAACCACAGTATCCATCCCATCTGTGCTCTCTGGCTGTAATAGGTGAAGGGAGACCTCAAGGTGATCTTCTGCAGCACTTATCCAGGAGGCCAAGCATGGAGCTCAGCAAGCTCTGAACCACATCAGACAGATTTTGGTCTGAGATGGCTAGCAAAGAGCCAGTGGCGGTGCTGCCTCAGTTCAGCCGCCTGGCTGCAGCCTGACCCATCCCCTGCGAACTCTCTGCGCCCCGTCCTCGGAAGCCAGCAGCGGACACTTCTTCCAGGAAACTGGGGAAGACAGAAAGACACCAAGGGAGAATTAAAAGAAAAGCAGCCATTTCTCACTGGCTGGCTCCAAAGGCCAATGTTTGGGTTGGGCCAAATGGGCAGGATTTGGGCCAGAGAGGGCAGATAGGGGCCAAAGGCAAGTGGACAGGAAGTGGGAACGAGGGCGCTTTCGCATCAAAAGCATCCCCACCTCAGACACCACTGAAGCTGAGAACCCTTCCGCCCCTTCCCCTCGCCTGGGGACTCTGGGTGGGGCAGAGCGAGCACAGCAGGCTTAGGCAAAGGGATAAGGAGCAGAGCAGGAACCATCCCTAAGTTCCAAAAGATGATGAGTAGAAACTTGCAGGCTTCAGAAATGACGTCTGAGGCCACTTTGCAAAAAGAATATCTGAAATATCTCAGGTTTGTTAAGCTCCTGCTAGAGATTTCTGCTGAAACGGGGTTGGCCTCTCAGTCTGAGAGACCTTCTCTGGTCCGGTGGCTGAGGCTCCAGGCTAGAAACCGGGGGGGACCATCAGCCCCAGGGAGGAGGAGAAGAAGGAGGCGAGGGCAAATCGCTTCCAAAAACAGTGTCAGAAAAACGACATGGACCATCCAGGCACTTCCTAGGAGCCAAAGCTGACTTGGAAGCGCGCACATACACTTGCACAGAGTTTGTATTTCCTTTATTATTGGTTAGATTTACCTCTCACCTTGATTTTGCCTTTGTAACATCAGCGATGTGAGATAGTTAAATTGAGAGAGGGTCAAGGAGGCCCCCGTGATTTCCATGGCTGAGTCTCCCTATTCCAACCTCAACGGCTTTTTCAGCCTTAGCCTTTTCTCCATCAAGAGAGCGGCTCCTGGGGGTCACTATGGGAGTTGGTCGTACTAGCAGGGCTGCGTGGTAGGGAGGTGAACATCTCCCACACCTATGGATTCACAGAATTCAGGTGACTTAACTATAACACACACACACACTTTTGTGTCTGCAGGCTTGCACGTGTACCTAACCGGGAACCGAAGAAGCTGTTGCACAGGCAATGGGTTTCTGCTACTGAACTCAAGACCTTACCTACCCCTCTCGCCTCTTATAATTTGCTGGGGTAATTTCTGTCCTGAGATCTACTCTTGGTCGAGCTGGTAACTCGATAGAGTGACCTTCTCCTCCAGGAGACGGATCAGCTGTCTGGCTGTGCTGCCTAAGAGAGGGTGTGAATACAGAGGCTGAGAAGAACACTCCCTTAAAGCCTGCGGTTACACACTGGCGATGGTGTCAGAAAGGAAGAAGAGAGGACAGGATCTTGGCCTCCCGGAAGGACTCCAGCAGGTGAAAAGGCAGGCAAAAATGGTTCCTCCTACATGCGGAATGCACCACCACACGATGGGCTTCAAGTCCATCATTCCTTGGATGCTCTGGAACAGACGAGGCTGATGATGGGGATGAGGCAACCCAGCTGAGTTGCCTGATCGTCAGAGGCTTTTAAAAGCATTTTTTTACAACCTCTTCGGCCAAAGAGATTGTAGAAAAAATGGTTTTAAAAGTAAAAAAAAAAAAAAAAAGTTGGTCACGCCCACTCAGTCACATTACCCCCCACCAAGCCACAGCCACAGAACTGGTAGTAACAAATTTTACATTTCACCACTGCTGGGAGCCCCATCTTTTAAAAATTAGGGGCGCTTCTGCAAGAAAGAATATGTCTCCTGGGGGCAATGAAAGCAACCCTGTTGTGGAGGGGTACCTGATGAAGCTCTAAAGCCCCTTCCTCCCTCTGAAACAGGGGCCAAAACTGCAGGCTTTTCCCTCTTCCAGGAGCTGCCCTTTCCCCACAGGCAGCAAGAGAAACAGGCTTCAAAGCTTCAATAAAAAGGTGTGTGTGTGTGATGCCACTTCTCCATGGCCTCGAAGGGGGAGGAACAGCTACGGTGGGCTGCCTACTGGGCATCCTACCTGTGGGGCAATGGACACCCTGGGAAAAGGCTGACTCTGTCTTTCCCATCCAGGAACTCTCCATATAGAACCCACCCCCTTCCTCAGGATTCGGCATGATGCCCCTGGAAGTCGCAGGTGGGGAAAAACCAAGTGAAACCCAGCAGAACCTTTTCTCAGAACTGGCTCTGTGCGTTCGCCAAAAGACAGCGCCCATCCACAAGTGAATCTGGAGCAGAACTCTTCAGCTCTGTAAAGCCCTTGCATGCATACACACACACACACACACACACACACACACACACACACACACACACACACACAAAGGAAAAGGAAAAAGACTGGTTGAAAAGGACGGCAACGGCTCTGCCCCACCTTCAACTCACCTCCTTGTGTTGTGCACCGTTGTCCCACCCAGCACGATCCGGACACCAGGGGTGGTGCGATTCAGATTGCAAACAGTCAGTGCCTCCTCGTACGTTGCTCCACCAATGATGAAGACGATAATATCTTGTGGCCTGGAACGA